CTTCAGCTCAGGGCACAACCTGGACTCTTTCAGAGGGATTTAAGGAGCCCTAAACCAGCAGCTCTCAATATTGGAACAACCTGAGTCTGGTGGGTCACCAATGTCCAGGCCTACCCTCTGGTTAGATTCTGATCTAACTGGCCTGGGTGCAGCCTGGCAGCAGCAGATTCAAAAGCCCCTGGGCCATTCTCATGTGCAGTAGAGTTGAGCACCCTTGCCTCAAACCACAGTCTCAGTTGCTGGGAATCACAGCCACTTGGTGTGAGCCCAATCCTCCCTGAGTGTGGTGTGGATGCGGGGGACGAGTCCCGGCTCTCAAGCAAGCCTGCTTCTCTGTGTCCCCTGTGACTGGTCCCTCAGTCACACTCTGACAGCTTTAGTCCAGAGCCCCTGTCACCAGTGGCCCTGTCTTCTGCTCCACCTGTCACCTGGATGTTACTGTCTCTTGCTACCAAACTCATCTGTCCCTAATAGCCACTCACCTGGCTGGGCCCTGCTGATAACGGGGCCCTTACCTCCTTCCTTGAGAGGCTGCCAAGTGGCTAAGACTGTGGTGGTTATCTGTGAAGCAGCACTGGCTACTGGGGTTCTTTTTAAGGAGAGAGGACACTTCAGGAGGTGGAAATGTTTCCGGCAGAAATAAATTTCCCCTTTATAATGGTGACCCTTGCATGACCCCTCTTTGTATCCACAGGTTCAAGCACAGAGCCTGGCTTGGGGTTAGAACCCATGGGGACCACTCAGGGCAAGCCTGCTGAGCCCCCAGCCCCAGGGTCCCCCTCATCCTCACAGCGGAGACCCGCAGCCTCCACTGCTCCTTCTCAAGCACAGGGTACAACCTGGACATTCATGAATGAGTGAATGAATGAATGAATGGGGAGTTGGGATTCCATGTTGGGTTCCCAGCCTCTGAACTTTTTTGAATTCTTGGATGTATGACTTGCCACTTCATTACTGTGGTTGATGTGTATCTCAAACCCGCACACCACTCCAGGTTCCTACTTCTTCTGCAACTGCTCAGATCCAGTCCTGGGCTGGTGCCTGCATTCCACTGTATTGACATTGCTTTTCAGGGCAGACTCATGGTCACAGGGTGACCTTCAAGGCTTTCCTTAACTGCCCCAGCCTGGGAGGGTAAGGGTGAGTGTGGGGGGTGATGGCAAGGAGAATGGAAACCAATAAGAGACAGTCCCTGGGGCCCCCTAGCTCCTCAGGACTTACCCTGCATCCCACGGAGGCTCACGGCCTCTCACCACAACTGTTGGTGGTGGGCAGCTCTTGGGCAGCCCTAGTCAGAGCTGGCAGCTGTGGCCAAGTCTTTGTTGGAATTCTCTGTGCCCTCGTCCTGGGGTTTCCCCTGTAGCCGTTGCCCTGCTGGGATCTCATGCAGCTCAACTCACACATCCAGAGTTAGGTTGTCTGAGCTGTCCCCTCTTGGGACAGGGGTCCTGAGATTTGGCTTCATGGGGCAAACACTGGCACTGCCAGGGCAGTAAACAAAAGCTCCCATTCCTGCCAAGCCTAACCTAGGAGTTCTGAGCCTGATTTCTCTCTGATTTTCTAGGCAAATTCACTGCTTCCTTGGAACTCAGCTCATCCCTTTGTTTCTTCTGAGCTCCTTGGGTCGCCTGTCGATCTCCTTCTCTCTGGAGACCTCATGCAAACAGGACTCTCTTCCTAAGGGCCCTAAGGAGTTTGCTCCTTTCCCTGAACCGCCCCAGTCCACAGTTCTGGAGATGATGTGTCAAAAACTAACAGGCAGATCCCTGGAGAAATGGAGGCAATCATCTTTAATTTTCAATCACAGCCACTGAAACTTATGATGCAGTTAGCATTCTTGTCTTTCTCCAGGCTGCATCCTGCATATCCTGCTTTGGGAAGAACAAAATCACTCCAAGGACACTGGGAAGACACACGAGCTGCCCCTTCTCATTCTGTATGACAACCACTCCACCTGTCTGCTTAATTTGAAGGGATTTAGTTCTTAGGGGAAATAAAGTAAACAGTATCCAAACTGACACTTACTCTGAAAAAGATTCTTCGTTCAGCTGGCTCCACCCTAAGGAAAGGCTGAGACTTATGCTACAAGCCTAAGAAGCAAGTTTATAAAAGGTCAGAAAAGAGGCCAGGTGCAGTGGCTCATGCCTGTAATCCTGGCACTTTGGGAGGCCAAGGCGGGCAGATCACTCGAAGTCAGGAGTTTGAGACCAGCCTGGCCAACATGATGAAACCCTGTCTCTACTAAAAATACAAAACTTAGCTGGGCGTGGTCTATCGTGTCTGTAATCCAAGCTACTAGGGAAGCTGGGCAGAAGAATTGCTTGAACCCGGGAGACGGAGGTTGCAGCCAGTTGAGATTGTGCCACCGCACTCAAGCCTGGGCAACAGAGCAAGAGTCTGTCTCAAAAAAAAAAAAAAAAGTGAGACTTTAGACGTTAGCACCTGTTTACCTTTGACATTTTGCCCCAGAACTGAACCTTTGGATCTGGGGAAAACCTGGGTCCCACCTTTCTTCACCCCACCTCCACCCATGCCACCATACACCTGTGCCAAGGTAAATGGAGTTCAGGTGCTGCCGGGCCCCAAGCTCTGCACCCTTGTTTCTTCCATCCTCTCTCGGGTGCCTGGGCTGGCAGAGCCAATATCTAAACACCTTCTCTGCGCTTCACATCTTGGAGCTCAGAGGCCGGCCACTGGTGCTGTGTGTCTTCCTCCCCAGGGTGAAGGCCACCACAGCCAGGACCACAGCCAGGACCACAGCCAGGACCACAGCCAGGAAGACCCCAGCAGAGATGGCAGTGCTGTGATAGTTCCCCTGGGAGCTGGCTGTCTCAGTTTGTGTCAGCCACCAACACGTCTGGGAAGGATAGGAGACCACAATAATAGAGTGGGGACCAGGAGAGAGCCCGGCAGAGGAGGAGAGGAAGACAAGTAAAGGCCGTGGCCCCCTGGACGTGGTAAAGACAATCAGAACTGTTTGGTGGGAAGGGATAAAATACTTGGAGAAGGATGTGCTGAATGGGAAACTGAGGCCACACCCCAATGGGCAGCTGACTGTCAGACTAGAGAGATTTCACGTTTGTCAGCCAAGGAGAGTCAGGGAAGGTTTTCTTAGCAGGAACTGGGAACTGGGCTTCGGCAGAACAAATCTGGCCTGAGGCTCCAGATGGATGGGAGGGGAGAGAATTGGGCATTTTAGACCAGCTGGGAAATGATTACAAGAGTCCCAGGTAACAGGCCTCCAGGACGTGAGCTACTACAGCAGCTGCAGGGAACAGGAGGAAGAGGAGGGAAGTGAGTCTGTGCCCGCAGGTGCCTATCGCCCTACCCTGATGTCCTTTGCTCCTCACTGCAACCCCATTGCATGCACCATTCATGAGACTTATTCTGAATTGTATCTTTTCCTGCAAGACTTTATCTGCCTCCTGGTGCATAACATTCCTTCATTAAACATTTATCAAATGAATGAACAAGTGAGGAAAGAGTCTGGAATCAGCTGGACATAAAGACAGCCTGAATAGGAATAAAGAAGAGAGAGAGCTGTCAAAGATGCCCCATGGACAGCGCCCTGAACAAGGAGAGGGTTTGTGACAACTACTGCTGCCCTACCCATCCCCAATACTACGGCCACCACATCCATTGACCTGGCCCCAGACTGGGCCAGAAATCCTGGGCATCACTCTGCGAACATTCATTCCCTCATCCATGTCCACAACACGGCAACACAACAGCACAGCAACACAGCAACAGAACAACACAACAGCACAGCAACACAGCAGCACAGCAACAGAACAACACAACAGCACAGCAGCTCAGGCAACACAGCAGCACAGCAGCACAGCAACACAGCAACAGAACAACACAGCAGCACAGCAACACAGCAACACAGCAACAGAACAACACAGCAGCACAGCAGCTCAGGCAACACAGCAACATAGCAGCACAGCACAGCAACAGAACAACACAGCAGCAGCTCAGGCAACACAGCAACACAGCAGCACAGCAGCACAGCAACAGAACAACACAGCAGCACAGCAGCTCAGGCAACACAGCAGCACAGCAGCACAGCAACACAGCAACAGAACAACACAGCAGCACAGCAACAGAACAACACAGCAGCACAGCAACAGAACAACACAGCAGCACAGCAGCAGAGCAGCACAGCAACAGAACAACATAGCAGCACAGCAGCATAGCAGGAGGGTAACACAGCAGCATAGCAGCACAGCGGGGAAACAACACAGCAGCACAGCAGCACAGCAGAGCAACACAGCAGCACAGCAGCACAGCAGAGAGCAACACAGCAGCACAGCAGCACAGCAGGAAACAACACAGCAGCACAGCAGCACAGCAGGAGAGCAACACAGCAGCACAGCAGCACAGCAGGAGAGCAACACAGCAGCACAGCAGCACAGCAGGAGAGCAACACAGCAGCACAGCAGCACAGCAGGAGAGCAACACAGCAGCACAGCAGCACAGCAGGAGGGCAACACAGCAGCACAGCAGCACAGCAGGAGGGCAACACAGCAGCACAGCACAGCAGGAGGGCAACACAGCACAGCCTTTAGCAGGAGAGCAACACAGCAGCACAGCAGCACAGCAGCACAGCAGGAGAGCAACACAGCAGCACAGCAGCACAGCAGCACAGCAGGAGAGCAGCACAGCAACAGCGCAGCACAGCAACACAGCAGCACACAATACAGCAACACAACAACAGAGCAACACAGCAGCACAGCAACACAGCAGCGGGTGCACTCCCTGTTCCAGAGGAGAAAAGTGACATGGCTTGTGCTGAGCAGAGCCTGCCAGTGGTCAGGACAAATCGATGCAGCTGGTATCCCCATGGCCCTGTCTAGACCCTGATGTCAACATGTCTGCTGTTATAGTTACTATCATTGTGAGGAATACTGTCATCATTAGTGTTGTTAACATGGGTGACAACAGGAGTAACAAAAACTACCATTTACCAAGCACTCAGTGACTTGCACCAGGAACAGGCTGAGGCAGTTTCACCAAAATTCTTTTATGTAACCCTCTCAACAGTGCTAAGAAGTAAGTATTGACATTTTCATTTCACAGGTGAGAAGCATGGATTCTGGGACGTCAGGTCTATGGGCCATCCAGGTCAGAACTCTCTTGACCTCGCCCTGCAATGGGTCCTCTAAGGACCATGAGCCTTGGGGAAGGCAGGAACCAGGTCTGATTCAACTCTGTATGACCAGGTGCAGCACAGTGTAGAGCTCAATTTGAGTTGGAGTATGACACCAAGAGAAACATCCCAAGTCCCCGAGAGTCAGGGGTCTGTGCCCTGGTGGGCAGTGGGGTCTGAGAGCGACCACCTACTGAGGCTCCTCTTCTAGGCGTGGGGGGGTCTGCAGCTGGATGGGACCCAGGACGACGTCCACCTTTTCCTGGTAGGAGCCCACATCCCTCTTGGACCTCATCACACAGCCTCGGTTGCAGCGGGAAGAGGGGTCATATGCCCTGCACACCACCATTTTACAACGCAGGTACACGGAGGGGAAGCGGTTCAGGAAGTGGAAGGCCCTGAACCGGAAGCGGGCAATGCGAGGAGACGGCTGGGAGTAGGATCCGTAGGTGTCATCCCTCACGCATCTGGAAGAGAACAGTAGCCCTTTAGCTCTCACCAAGGCCCAATTCTTTCTTCATGACTCAGTTATGCCAGGTGAGGAACTCCACAGCCTGTCCTCACTGCCCTTGCCTCCTGCACACCTGACTTTCCTTCTGTCAGAACGTGTGGATCAGACACTCACTGTGGGGCCTGCAGACAAATCCTGGCAGCTCTGGTACCTCACCGCCATCTTTAGGTAGCAAAGCCTGTGGGGGTTTTCCCAATAGACAAGCAGGCCCCATACTGCATAGTGGGTTGCAGCCTAATTCCACAATGACCACACACTCCATGTACCCAGGTAAGCCTGGTGAGTCAGGGAAGTAGCTGGAGTTTGGCGCCCAGGAGCGGGACCCAGAGACAGAGCAGAAAAGGAAATGACCTTCCCTTCTCTCTCCTGGTGTCAGGGCCAGGCAAGGTCTCGTTGGGCTGCACTCTGAGTACAGTGCCCTGGTCCTCCCTCTCCCAGGGCCTCTCTCTCCTGACCCTGGTCAGCCTGCCCTGAGCCCTATGCAACTGTACTTTCCACACTGGCCTGCGAACCCTCCGGTAGCCCCTACCCCAATATCAACCCCTTCCTCATTCCCTTGGGCACCTCCTCTCAGCCACTGTCAGAAGGAAAATAACCTAAGGATATGCTTACAGGAATTTTCCTAAGATATGGAAGAAGCAGCTCACACTAATCCAGTTATTATAGATTGGTGGGATTTTGAAGGGTGCAGCAAACAGAAGAGCTAGGAAAGTTGGCCCACGGGCCTAGGATGGGCATTTCTCATGGGTGGTGGGTGTGGTCTCTAGGGCAGTCTGGCTCAGCCTGGGAACCTGGCCAGGATCTGCTCCCCTCCTTCTGTCTTCTAGAGCCTCCTTCCTTCCTCCATAGGCAACCCAGATTCTCTCAAATACCAAGATTTTTTTTTTTTCCACAGTAGCTCCCTTAGTGGCAAAGGAGGAATCAAAAATAGCTGGAGGCTTGTTCAGAGGTGGGACACTGGGGAAAAAGGTCAGGGTCACTCAGAAGCCCCCGGGCAGTCATTGTATTTGCCATCAAACCCTGCCATTCAGGGCTTCAGGCAGACCAGAATGCCACGCAAAGCCACAGCCAAGAGTCCACCTCAGAATCACTCAAGATTTTTTAAATGTAACCCAGGCCCCACCAGGCCAAATACAGAGAATATATGGGTGGGGCCTGGGCAGGGTGTGTTTGGAGCCCCGGTCATTCTAATGTACATCCAGGTGCATGATCTTGTTGATGGCCAGGGATAGCCAATAAGTCCCTGTGCTCCAGGTATAGCCAGGGTGCATCTACCCCTGCACACACATCCCCATCTTCCCAGCAAATTGCATTGTCATATATAAATGGCAGGATTTGACCAGAAAGGATCCTTTGGCAGGGAAGAGCTAAGTCGCCCACTCGTTTTCATTAATGTCAATCAATTCACACAAATTTAAATGTCACCTGATGACTCTTCGTACAAAGGGAATCTGGTTAAGCTTTCTCCCCTCCTCTCAGCCACCAAGGGGGCTGCTGTGAATTGAACAAAGTACATAGACTGTGAACAAGATGAGCCTCAACACCTGCTTACTGAACTGACCTATGTTCACACTGTGCCTGGAAAGAGGTGCTATGCTTAGCATATCAAGGGGGTGTTGAATTGAATCCACCCACCTCTAATTCCTAGCAGAACCCTTTACCCTATTGGTATAAATTCTCTTGGAAGGCAATGGCTACTAAAGTGTCCAGGTCTATATTGTAAGCCAAGAACCATGGTACACACCCATCAACAGAGACTTCAGAGGGGGCTGGAGTTGCACATCATGGTGTTGTCGTGAGTGCAGAAGAGTCAAACCCCACCTCATCCACGAGCAGTCATCCCAGGAAGCTGGGCTGGACACCCTGTGAGCAGCCCAGCCTGGACACCCTGTGGCCCCAGCCTGACATTCCTGGCCTGACCTCTGCACCTCCTGAGCTTGACTAGAACCACGGACTCCCAGAGCTTCTATTCCCAGACTGAAGGAGGACAGCAGGGCTCCTGCCATCTTCAGTGCACATTCCTGGTGCACCACCTGCCGCACACCGTCTGTGCTCAGTGCCCCATCCACTCTCTCTCATCTCATCCTCCCAACAGCCTTACGATGTGTGTGTCAGTATCCCTACCTGACAGGTGAGCAGCTGGGCCATAGAGTTGCTTTCACTGGCCCAGAATCATGCAACTGGCACATGGCAGAGCTGACATTTCAACTTGGTCTGCTGCAAATCAATGCTTTTCCCACTATACGTAGGTCTTTTTAACCATATGGCTGGAGTTCAGTCACCTGGAATCTAATCCCAGTTTACAGCTAACCTGCTGAGTGAACACTGCTGAGCTGTTCTATTCTCCAGACACCCACCTCCCCAGATGTTAACTGGAGATGATACATGGTCATCCTACCTGATGAGAAATCAGGGATGTGATACAGAACACAGAGTAAAATCACCTTAAGGGTAAAAACTACAGGATGTTACTACATGTAGAAAGGGATCTAGTTAAGCTTGAAGTACTGGGAACTGCAGTCCATCAAAATTTGCATTCTTCAAGCCTTTAGGGCTACTCATGTTTGAGTTATCAAGTAAAGATTTAAGGCCATTGCATAAAGACACTCCTTACCCACTCCGGATTAGATCATAATTCAAAGATGTGAAGTCATTGGAGTATGGTGATGCCACGCAGGTGTCCACAAACAAGGTCAGTGCAGCATCAGAATGGAGGATTTCAGCCTGAACGTACAAGTCCTGGTTCAGCTTCACATAGTAAGGGTGGCTGGTCACAGGATACAAGAAAGAGGAGGAAGTATAAAAGGAAATGTTCACGTCAAAATTGCCATACTGGACTTCCTCGACCTGGATGGTGTCATTAGCAATGTACATGGTGTTGACCCAGGTGTTCTGAAGCATCCTGCAGCTGACGTGAATACGGAAGTTCTTCCTCCTCGTGATGATGCCACGTGATGATGCCACATGAGCTGCTGTGAGGAAGTTGGAATAGTCGATGGTGTCATTGTCTACCTAGGAGAGGCAGGCAAGAGAGCAGAGTCAGGCACATGTCACCTGCTAAGGGAATCCCACAGCTGATTTGGGTGTGAATGAGAGGGACATGATTCAGCAAGACTTCCACCCCTCCCAGAGCCACTCAGAGATGGCGATGGCACATGCCTGTCCTTTAGCTATGAGGCAGCAGAGGATGCCAGAGCCCACGCTCTGGTTCCAGGTCTGGGGAAGACCCACAGGAAGGGGTTCTACGTTACCCACCTGCTCTTAGCTACATTTTCTGACTCTAAACTGTCTTACAAATTTTTTTTTTTGCTTTATATTTCAGTACCAACAGTTGTCACAATAAATCATATGACTTAAACCATATGACCACAATAAACCGTATTGTCAGGCCTCTGAGCCTAAGCCAGCACATAAACATCCAGATGGCCTGAAGTAACTGAAGAATCACAAAAGAAGTGAAAATGGCCAGTTCCTGCCTTAACTGATGACATTACCTTGTGAAATTCCTTCTGGTTCAGAAGCTCCCCCACTGAGCACCTTGTGACTCCTACCCCTGCCCACCAGAGAACAACCCGCTTTGACTGTAATTTTCCACTACCTACCCAAATCCTATAAAATGGCCCCAACCCTATCTCCCTTCACTGACGCTCTTTTGGACTCAGCCCGCCTGCACCCAGGTGATTAAAAAGTTTTATTGCTCACACAAAGCCTGTTTGGTGGTCTTTTCACATGGATACGTGTGACATTTGGTGCCGTGACTCGGATTGGGAGACCTTCCTTGGGAGATCAATCCCCTGTCCTCCTGTTCTTTGTTCCATGAGAAAGATCCACCTATGACCTCTGGTCCTCAGACCGACCAGCCCAATGAACATCTCACCAATTTTAAATCAGGTAAGTGGCCACTTTTTACTCTCTTCCCCAACCTCTCTCACTGTCCCTCAGCCTCTTTCTCCTCTCAATCTTGGCGCCTTCCTTCAATCTCTGCCTTCTCTTAATTTCAGTTCCTTTCCTTTCCTGGTAGAGACAGAGAAGACACGTTTTATCCGTGAACCCAAAACTCCGGCGCCAGTCACAGACTCAGGAAGACAGTCTCCCCTTGGTGTTTAATCACTGTGGGGATGCCTGCTTGATTATTCCACGTTTCAGAGGTGTCTGATCACTGCAGGGATGCCTGCCTTGATCCTTCACCCTTAGTGGCAAGCACCGCTTTTCTGGGGGGCAAGCACCCCCAACCCCTTCTCTCGTGTCTCTATCCTTTCTTTTCTCTGGCCTTGCCTCCTTCACTATGGGCAACTTTCCACCCTCCATTCCTCCTTTTCCTCCCTTAGCCTGTGTTCTCAAGAACTTAAAACCTCTTCAACTCACACCTGACCTAAAACCTAAATGCCTTATTTTCTTCTGCAATGCCATTTAACCCCACTACAAACTCCACAGTGGTTCCAAATAGCCTGAAAATGGCACTTTTGATTTTTCCATCCTACATGATCTAGATAATTCTTGTCGTAAAATGGGCAAATGGTCTGAGGTGCCTGACGTCCAGGCATTCTTTTACACACCATCCGTCACTCCCTAGTCTCTGTTCGCAGTGCGACTCATCCCAAATCCTCCTCCTTTCCCTCCCGCCTGTCCCCTCAGTCCCAACCCCAAGGGTCGCTGAGTCTTTTCAATCTTCCTTTTCTACCTACCCATCTGACCTCTCCCCTCCTACCCAGACTGCTACTTCTCAGGTCACTCCCCACCTGACTAAATCAGGATCCAATTCTTCCTCAGCCTCCACTCCCCCACCCTATAATCCTTCTATCACCTCCCCTCCTCACACCTGGTCCGGTTTACAGTTTCGTTCAGCAACTAGCCCTCCCCCACCCGCCCAACAATTTCCTCTTAAAGAGGAAGCTAAAGGCATAGTCAAGGTTAATGCTCCTTTATCTGACCTCTCCCAAATCAGTTAGCGTTTAGGCTCTTTTTCATCAAATATAAAAACCCAGCCCAGTTCATGGCTTGTTTGGCAGCAACCCTGAGATGCTTTACAGCCCTAGACCCTGAAGGATCAGAAGGCTGTCTTATTCTCAATATGCATTTTATTACCCAATCTGATCCCGACATTAAATAAAGCTCCAAAAATTAGATTCTGGCCCTCAAACCTCACAACAGGACTTAATTAACCTCGCCTTCAAGGTGTACAATAATAGAGGCAACTAAGTAGCAACACATTTTTGAGTTACAATTCCTTGCCTCCACTGTGAGAAAAACCCCAGCCACATCTCCAGCACATAAGAACTTCAAAATGCCTAAGCCGCAGTGGTCAAACATTCCTACAGGACCTCCTCCATCAGGATCTTGCTTCAAGTGCCAGAAATCTGGCTACTGGGCCAAGGAATGCCCGCAGCCTGGGATTCCACCCAAGCTGTGTCCCATGTGTGCAGGACCCCACTGGAAATCGGACTCTCCAGCTCACCTGGCCACCACTCCCAGAGTCCCTGGAACTCTGGCCCAAGGCTGGCTGACTGACTCCTTCCCAGATCTTCTCGGCTTAGTGGCTGAAGACTGACGCTGCCCCATTGCCTCAGAAGCCTCCTGGACCATCATGGACGCTTTAGGTAACTCTCACAGTGGAGGGTAACTCCATCCCCTTCTTAATCAATATGGAGGCTACCTACTCCACATTACCTTCTTTTCAAGGGCCTGTTTCCCTTGCCTCCATATCTGTTGTGGCTATTGATGGCCAGGCTTCTAAACCTCTTAAAGCTCCCCATCTCTGATGTCAACTTGGACAACATTCTCTTATGCACTCCTTTTTAGTTATCCTCACCTGCCCAGCTCCCTTATTAGGTGGAGACATTTTAACTAAATTATCTGCTTCCCTCACTATTCCTAGGTGATAGCCACGCCCGATTGCTGCCCTCTTCCCCAGTTCAAAGCCTTCTTCGCATCCTCCCCTTGTATCTCCCCACCTTAATCCACAGGTATGGGACTCCTCTACTCCCTCCTTGGTGACTGATCATGCATCCTTACCATCCCATTAAAACCTAATCACACTTACCCAGCTCAACGCCAACATCCCATCCCACAGCACGCTTTAAAAGGATTAAAGCCCATTATCACTCGCCTATTACAGCATGGCCTTTTAAAGCCTATAAACGCTCCTTAAAATTCCCCCTTTTACCTGTCCAAAAACTGGACAATTCTTACAGGTTAGTTCAGGATCTGCGCCTTATCAGCCAAATCGTTCTGCCTGTCCACCCTGTGGTGCCCGACCCATATACTCTTTTGTCCTCAATACCTTCCTCCACAACTCACTATTGCATTCTTGATCTTAAAGATGTTTTTTTCACTATTCCCCTGCACCCCTCGTCCCAGCCTCTCTTTGCTTTTACCTGGACTGGCCCTGACGCCCATCAGTCCCAGCAGCTTACCTGGGCTGTACTGCCACAAGGCTTCAGGGACAGCCCTCATTACTTCAGTAAAGCCTTTTCTCATGATTTACTTTCTTTCCATCCATCTGCTTCTCACCGTATTAAATATTTTGACAATCTTCTACTTTATAGCCCCTCCTACAGATCTTCCCAACAGGACACCCTTCTGCTCCTCCAACATCTATTCTCAAAAGAATATCACGTATCCCCCTCCAAAGCCCAAATTTCTTCCTCATTCATTACCTATCTCGGCATAATTCTTCATAAAAACACATGTGCTCTCCCTGCTAATCGTGTCTGGCTAATCTCCAAAACCCCAACCACTTCTACAAAACAACAATTCCTTTCCTTCCTGGGCATGGTTGGATACTTCTGCCTTTAAATACCTAGTTTTACCATCCTGGCTAAACCATTATATAAACTCATAAAAGAAATGCTAGTTGACCCCATAAATCCTAAATCCTTTCCTCACTCCCCTTTCCATCCATAAAAAACAGCCCTAAAAGCTGCTCCCACATGAGCTCTCCCTAACTCATCCCAATCCTTTTCATTACACACAGCCAAAGTACAGGGCTATGCAGTCAGAATTCTTATACAAGAGCTGGGACTGTGCCCGGTAGCCTTTCTTTCCAAACAACTTGACCTTACTGTTTTAGCCTAGCCCTCATGTCTGCGTGTGGCAGCTGCCACTGCCCTAATACTTTTAGAGACCCTCAAAATTACAAACTATGCTCAACTCACTCTCTACAGTTCTCATGACCTCCAAAATCTATTTTCTTCCTCACACCTGATGCATATACTTTCTGCTCCCTGGCTCCTTCAACTATATTCACTCTTTTTTGAGTCTCCCACAATTACCATTGTTCCTGGCCTGGACTTCAATCCAGCCTCCCAAATTATTCCTGATACCACACCTGACCCCATGACTGTATCTCTCTAATCCACCTGGCATTCACGATTTCCCCATGTTTCCTCCTTTCCTGTTCCTCACCCTGATCACACTTGGTTTATTGATGACAGTTCAACCAGGCCTAATCACTACTCACCAGCAAAGGCAGGCTATGCTATAGTATCTTCCACATTTATCCTTGAGGCTACTGCTCTGCCCCCATCCACTACCTCTCAGCAAGCCGATCTCATTGCCTTAACTCAGGCCCTCACTCTTGCAAAAGGACTATACATCAATATTTATACTGACTCTAAATATGCCTTCCATATCCTGCACCACCATGCTGTTATATGGGCAGAAAGAGGTTTCCTCACTACGCAAGGGTCCTCCATCATCCATGCCTCTTTAATCAAAACTCTTCTCAAGGCTGCTTTACTTTGAAAGGAAGCTGGAGTCACTCACTGCAAGGGCTATCAAAAGGAGTCAGATCCCATTGCTCAGGGCAATGCTTATGCTGATAAGGTAGCTAAAGGAGCAGCTAGCGTTCCAACTTCTGTCTCTTATGGCCAGTTTTTCTCCTCATCACTCACTCTCACCTACTCCCCCACTGAAACTGCCACCTATCAATCTCTTCCCACACAAGGTAAATAGTTCTTGGACCAAGGAAAATATCTCCTTCCAGCCTCACAGGCCCATTCTATTCTGTTGTCGTTTCATAACCTCTTCCATGTAAGTTATAAGCTGCTAGCCTGCCTCTTAGAACCTCTCATTTCCTTTCCATCATAAAAATCTATCCTCAAAAAATCACTTCTCAGTGTTCCATCTGCTATTTTACTACTCCTTAGGAATTTCTCAGGCCCCCTCCCTTCCCTACACATCAAGCTTGGGGATTTACCCCCACCCAGAACTGGCAAATTAACTTTACTCACATGCCTGGAGTCAGGAAACTAAAATACCTCTTGGTCTGGGTAGACACTTTCACTGGATGGGTAGAGACCTTTCCTACAGGGTCTGAGAAGGCCACCATGGTCATTTCTTCCCTTCTGTCAGACATAATTTGTCAGTGTGGCCTTCCCACCTCTATACAGTCTGATAACGGACCAGCCTTTACTAGTCAAATCACCCAAGCAGTTTCTCAGGCTCTTGGTATTCAGTGGAACTTTCATACCCCTTACTGTCCTCAATCTTCAGGAAAGGTAAAACGGACTAATAGTCTTTTAAAGACACACCTTGCCAAGTTCAGCCTCCAACTTAAAAAGGACTGGACAGTACTTTTACCTCTTGCCCTTCTCAGAATTAGAGACTGTCCCCGGGATGCTACAAGGTACAGCCCATTTGAGCTCCTGTATGGATGCTCCTTTTTATTAGGCCTCAGTCTCATTCCAGACACCAGACCAACTTGAACTGCACCCCAAAAACTTGTCATCCCTACTGTCTTCTGTCTAGTCATACTCCTATTCACCATTCTCAACTACCCATAAATGCCCTGCGTTTGTTTACACTGCCGGTTTACACTTTTCCTTCAAACCATCATAACTGATATGTCCTGGTTTTATCTCAAACCACCACCCTTAAGTTTCTCTTAAAGTGGATAGATAATCTTTGCTGACAGGAAGTACGCTCCAATACTTCCACCCTGAAGTCCTATTCTTTACTTTTATACTCAAAATCTTATTCTCGTTCCTATTCTTAAGCCACCCTCTACCTCTCCCCAGCTATCTCCACCACACTATCAATCTCACTCACTCTGTCCTAGCCATTGCTAATCCTTCTTTAACAAACAGTTGCTGGCTTTGCATTTCTCTTTCTTCCAAAATCACTGAAGCCCCGACTTACTCACTACTGAAAAAAGGGGACTCTGTATATTTTTTAATGAAAACTGTTGTTTTTACCTAAATGAATCTGGCCTGGTGTACGACAACATAAAAAAACTCAAGAATAGAGCCCAAAAACTCACCAACCAAGCAAATAATTATGCTGAATCCCCTTGGGCACTCTCTAATGGGATGTCCTGGGTCCTCCCAATTCTTGGTCCTTTAATACCTGTTTTTCTCCCTCTCTTATTCAGATCTTGTGTCTTCCGTTTCATTTCTCGATTCATACAAAACCGCATCCGGGCCATCACCAATCATTCTGTATGACAAATGCCTCCTTCTAACGACCCCACAATGTCGCCCCTGACCCCAAAACCTTCCTTCAGCTTCATCCTTCCCACTCTAGGTTCCCACGCCGCCCCTAATCCTGCTCGAAGCAGCCCTGAGAAACATCGCCCGTTATCTCTCCATACCATCCCCCAAAAAATTTTCGCTGCCCCAACACTTCAATGCTATTTTATGTTATTTTTCTTATAAATATAAGAAGACAGGAATGTCAGGCCTCTGAGCCCAAGCCTGCATGTATACATCCACATGGCCTGAAGTAACTGAAACATCACAAAAAAGTGAAGACGGCCAGTTCCTGCCTTAACTGTCAACATTACCTTGTGAAATTCCTTCTCCTGCCTCAGAAGCTCCCCCACTGAGCACCTTGTGACCCTCACCCCTGCCCGCCGGAGAACAACCCCCTTTGACTGTAATTTTCCACTACCTACTCAAATCCCATAAAATGGCCCCACCCCTATCTCCCTTCGCTGACTCTCTTTTCGGACTCAGCTCGCCTGCCCCCAGGTAATTAAAATGCTTTATTGCTCACACAAAGCTTGTTTGGTGGTCTTTTCACACACATGCACGTGACAGTATGACCTTTCTTAGTCTTTCAAAGATACACTCAGGTGCTTTCCATTGAACCCTGTACATTAACATGATCATTTGCATGGATGTCACCTTTGCCTATGGTGCCTACAATGGAGGTAAATTCTGAATCCACTCCAAACAATGAACGGGGAGTGCAGATTTATTTCTTGGTCAGAAGAAGCAGTTTTAATTTTAGATTAAGATTCATCATCACAGGCCAGCCTGGTGGAGCTGTGGGAAGCTCCAGCCATGGATGGCACAGCCCTACCTCTGTGTCCTAGACACGCAGCTCATGGCCATATGGTCCTGGGCAAGTGGCTTACCTTCTGCAAGCCTCCGTTGCCTCATAATTAAGTGGGAATAAAGTTGTCCTGAGAATTTTAAAAGTTATATAGTACACTTAGTTCAGTGTCTGATACCTGTATGAGCTATTAATAACACTATATCAACTCTCAGGCTCAGGACCAGGGGCACTGGGGGTTTCAAAGAGGAACAAAACATTGGCCCTGCCCCTGAGGCACTCAGTGTGATAGGAAATATGGTTATTTAAAGAAATAGAGGGCCGGGCGCGGTGGCTCACGCCTGTAATCCCAGCACTTTGGGAGGCCGAGACGGGCGGATCACGAGGTCAGAAGATCAAGACCATCCTGGCTAACACGGTGAAACCCCGTCTCTACTAAAAAATAGAAAAACTAGCCGGGAGAGGTGGTGAGCGTCTGTAGTCCCAGCTACTCGGGAGGCTGAGGCAGGAGAATGACGTGAACCCGGGAGGTGGAGCTTGCAGTGAGCTGAGATCCGGCCACTGCACTCCAGCCTGGGCCACAGAGCAAGACTCCGTCTCAAAAAAAAAAAAAAAAAAAAAAAAAAGAAATAGAGGAGGCCAGGAGCAGTGATTCATGCCCATAATCCCAGCATTTGGGAGACCAAGGCAGGAGGATCACTTGAGCTCAGGAGTTCGAGACCAGCCTGGACACATAGCAAGATCCCACCTCTACAAAAAAAATTTTTTTAATTAGCCGGGTGTGGTGGTGCATGCCTGTAGTCCCAGCTACTCTGAAGGCTGAGGCTGGAAGATCGCTTAAGCCCAGGAGTTCAGGTCTGCTGTGAGCTACGATGCAACCATGCCTGGGCATCCAGCCTGGGCAACAGAATGAGAACCTGTCATTAAAAAATAAAAATAAAAATAAATAAATAAGTGGAGGAATAAGAATGTGGAATGTGCTGTGCATAATCAGCCAAGTTAGAAGAAACAGGGCTGAGAGAATTATCTGGCTGCTCCAAATGGGTGTGAATGGGTGTGAACAGGTGTGAACAGGTGTGAAGGGCTCTCAGCAGGGCTGCTCAGGTGGCAGTCTCCAGGCTACACACTTGGCACAGGAACAATGGTCACCTTCAGTGAACTGACTTCCACTGACCAAACTCACGACAAGCCAGAACCCAACACGATTAAGGCCGAGCCTTCACTGGGGGAGTATGACAAGGACTAATCACAGCATCTGCCACTTGTAGGGTGACTAACTGTCCTCGTTTGCCTGGGAGTGAGGGGTTTCCTGGAATGTGGGACTTTCTATGCTAAAATCTGCAGAGTCCCAGGCCAATCACAGAAATCTGTCGTAGAGGCTGTTGAAAACTTCAGTATAACCATAGCTGCGGTCACCTTCAAGCCTATAGAGAAGGGACACACCATTTTGGCTTCACTTTCACCCATAATTGGATGCAGGGGGCCATCTTAGATGGTGATAGCTCAACAAATGGCAGCTGCAGAGGCCAACTGACTGTGGAACTAATGAAGCTGAAGCTTTCAGGCCCCTCTTCCCTGCCTGGTGCAATGTGCGGGCCTCGTCCGAGGCCTAGCAATGTGTTTGCACAGCCATACGTTGTCACAAAGTTTATAAAAGTTCATAGATATTGCACTCTTTGACTTAATGAGGCCCCTGCCCCTCTCAACACCTGCCCCTCACCCCCGACCCTAACTGTATAAGCTTCGGGCCCTGCGAAATCTGGAGCTGCTCCAGAAGCTGCTGTTGTTATTGCTGATGGAAAAAAACCAAAAGGTTTTTATCTTCCTTTATTCCAATTATGTCCTGATTATGCCAAAATCATAATTTCTGCATCCCCAGAATTCAAGAAGCACAGCACATACCACTATAAGAAAGCTTGTGCACTGGGAAATGGAATGGGAAGCCCCAGGCTTACCTGCTTGAAGGTGCCGCAGCCTGAGTAGGGAATTGTGAATATCACCAGGTTCGGTGTTATCTGGGGCCGACACTCGTAGTACCCGTTCCAGGTGGAAATGACAAGGTCACTGGCAGAAAAGCCCAAGGATTGGAGGTAGCTCCTGCTCACGCTGGCTTGCATGTGATTTGGCAGACAGAGCAGGTCTGATAGACAAGGACAGATAAGGCACTCAGTCACTGCCCCGGACTCCACAAGTCCTACGGAGTCAGATGCCCTTTCCACTTAAAAAGTGCACAGACCAGGGTGGCTGACAGGGAGGGTGGGCACTTAAGGTGTGGGCACAGACTTCACTGCAATCCCCCAAGGACCCTAGGGTCAAGTCAGCCCCATTCTTATGAAAGCCCAGGGACAGCACGTGGACTCAGGATTTCTCTGATGGAGAATTGGAGGCAGCATTTTTAAATAAGTGGAATGTTTGGCCAAGTTACCATTTATCTATAAAGGAAAGTAACTGCATGGTCAAATTATGGGAATGTCATAAAACAAAGTCTTTTAGCCTTGAAGCAAGTCAGTCTTTAATCCTGACTGCATAAGAGACCCTAGAGGTCACCTTGCCTGGCCCTTGGCCAATCTATACATCAGTCCATACAGCAACTCAAATCATAGCCATACAGGCTCTGCTGGAAGTGGCTGAGTGACCTTATCTCAGCCACTTCCAGCCACCCAGCTCAGTCTATCTTCAGACAGAAGCCAAATGTGTTAGGTCTCAGGCCATGAACACAGTGTCCCACACTCTGAGAAGGTCACAAGGTTTCAAGCCAAGAGGTCACCTCTGCCTCTGGCACTGACTCATCACTCTCCGCTAAGAGCATCATCTGGGACCCTCTACTCAGTCTCTGCTGACCACAGAAAGGCCAGTCATCACCTGTCAGCCAGTTCTAGTCCTGACTTCATTTCTGGGCAGCCAGAGTCCTGAGGCCCACTACTCCTGGCCCCTTTCAGCTGAAAATCAAGCCCTGGTGACCTGAAAGGGTTCCTTCATTTCTTATTTCACAACCATGGGACAGTTGAGCCACAGATGCTCTCAGGATGTCCCCAGTCCCAACACATCATTCCCACAAGGGGACTTACTGGTGCTGTCATTGGAGGGACTGGAGTAGTACTCAGCCCGGAACCCTTTCCTCGTGATGCTGTGGTCACTGACGAAGCGAATGGACATGAAGTTGGAGGAGGAAGTGAAGGAGCCTCTGGCCCCATCACAAACTCGAGCAATGAGACGGGAACTGTGGTAGGGGCCATCGAAAACTTCAACATAATCATAGTTGCAGCCACCTTCAAGCCTGCAGAGAGAGGAAACACCATTTGGCTTCATTTCCTCCCAGAATTTGACACAGGGGTCAGATCTCAGGGTGGGGTCGCACCTCTGTGCCAGAAACTCTGACAAAGTTCATCAATGAAAGTCATAGGTCTCCTTGGCTGGGCATGGTAGCTCACGCTTATAATCCCACCACTTTGGGAGGCTGAGGTGGGTGGATCATCTGAGGTCATAAGTTCGAGACCAGCCTGGCCAATGTGGTGAAACCCTGTCTCCACTAAAAATACAAAAATTAGCTGGGCTTGGTGGCACAAGCCTGTAGTGTGAGGGAGGCTATTCAGGAGGCTGAGGTAGGAGAATCACTTGAATCCGGGAGGCAGAGGTTGCAGTGAGCCGAGATCGTGCCACTGCACTCCAGTTTGGGTGACAGAGTGAGGCCCTGTCTCAAAAAATAAAAATAAAAATAAAAATTGAAAAAAAAGAAAGTCATAGGTCTCCTTAAATCAAGAGAGTCTCATCTTCCCTTAACCTCCATGCCTGGGTCTTAGTCCTGCCCTTTGTGGTCACAAATATGAAATCTATAGCCCCTCACGTGTCAGCCCTTTACATCAGGAAAGGAAGGGCTCGCATCCTGATCTAGACCATTTTTCTTCTATCGAAAAGTCCCTGGTGCCCCCACAGAATAAAATCAATATGCATGAGTTCGTAGTGAGAGAAATAAATAACTGAATAAATATTGGGCAAGTCAAATAATCTCTCTAAAGCTTTTCCTGTTTACAAAGGCAAAATAATCTGATCCATGCACGCTGAAGAGGGCTATGGTGAAGCTCAAATAAAACAACATACAGAAAAGGGCTTTGTAAAATGTCACAAATGGTGATGGTCATTGCTATCAAGATGCTGGTTAAAGAACCACTCATGGTCAACCTTTTCCCATAGGACTGCATAAATTTTAAGTGCAATCTTTGTATTGTAATGACAAAGAGAATAAAATGATGTATCTTTTGCAAAATCCCATATGAATTACTAAAGGAGAGACTCCAAAATCCACTGCAAACAGAAATCAACAGGGAAAACTATTTTGTTCAATAGTGGTTGTTAGAGAAGAAATTAGTGTAGCCCCTTGTTCAGGACACTAGAAAATACTGGTGCCTCTTCGCGGTCAGCTGGGCCACCCACCTCCTTGGATAAATCATATATTAATGTACTTTTGATGTCAGCCATGGTGGCTCACACCTGTAATCCCAGCACTTTGGGAGGCCGAGGTGGGAGGGTCACCTGAGGTCAGGAGTTGAAGACCAGCCTGGCCAACATGGTGAAACCCCATCTCTAATAAAAATACAAAAATTAGCCAGGCATTGTGGTGTGCGCCTGTAATCTCAGCTACTTGAGAGGCTGAGGCAGGAGAATCGCTTGAACCCAAGAGGCAGAGGTTAGAGTGAGCCAAGACCGTGCCTCTACACTCCAGCCTGGGTGACAGAGTGAGACTCCGTGTCAAAAAAAGAAAAAAAAGAAAGAAAAGAAAAGTGCTTTTAGTAATGTCCCCTCTGCTTAAAACGATGATTTCTACTTGTGATTGGATGCAGAGCAGATACCCTACCCTCTGCAGCAGCAATTCCTCCATCTCTCCCTGATCCCTGGGGAACTCACATGAAGAAAGGAGAGGGTGGAGAAAAAGGGTTCCACAAAACCGATACAATTGTTCTTTTTGTTTTGTTTTGTTTTGTTTTCCTGAGACAGGGTCTCGCTTTGTTCCACCAGTTGGAGTGCACTGGCGCTATCATAGTTCACCACAACTTTGAACTTCCAGGGCTCTGGCGATTCTCCCACTTCAGCCTCCTGGGTAGCTGGGACTACAGGTGCAGGCCACCATGCCCAGCTAATTTTTGTATATATATTTTTTTTCATAGAGATGGGGGTCTCCCTATGTTGCTCAGGTTGGTCTTGAACTCCTGGGCTCAGGTGATCCTCCCGCCTCAGCCTCCCAAACTGTTGGGATTACAAGCCTGAGGCACCATACCTGGCCAGTGTGGTTGCTAATAGGATTATTTGTGCTATTATTGCCCCTAAGTCTATCATTACTACTTAACAACCATCTTTTCCATTGGACAACATTTTGTAAATATTTTCACATCTCTCTCTCTCTCTCTCTCTCTCTGCTTTCGTGTGACCTTCCCAGTAACCAATGAGGTGAGGAGAGCAGGTATTTTATTCCCCTCTTTTGACTGAGGCTCAGGAAAGTTGAGTGACTTCCTGTGGTCACACAGCAAATTGGTGGCAGACCTAGGACTTGAAACCAGAGCTTTTGTCCAGTCCAAGGCTCTTGTGCCCCCTCCCCAGCTCTCCCCAGGATGCCTCTGGGCTAGGTCAAAAATGTATCCCAGTGAACATCTCTCCTGATGTTCTAAGTACCATTTATTCCCTCTTGAAAGGTCTGTGAGGCCCCAAGGCATTCTTCTTGGTGCACACTTACTGGACATCTCTGAAGACCACCGTCACACGGTGGTTGTTTCGCACCTCAATGTCCCACACACACTTGGCATTGTTCGGATAGTTCCTGGGATAGAATGGGCTGGAAAAGTCCCCTGATGGCTGGGACAGGAAGCCTCCACAGGAATAATTTGCTGTCAGGACAAAAAACGGGAATGTCGGGGACCCCCAGAGCACACTGCACAGTCACCTGGGGACTATTTTAAATTTAAATTACTTTAAAAATTTAAAAAATAATTCCCAAGACAGAAACCAAATAAAAGCAAGAGGTGGCCTAGATCTGGACCATCCACTGAGGGCTGGCGGGGCACTCTTGCAGGAGATCACCTTTGGGGAAGCCGTCTCCTCCCCAGCCCCGTTGTCACTGAGGAAATGGGAAGGGGGATTTCCAGGCCACTCTGCCACGAACTATCAAAGGCACCTCAAAGCTCCCCTATTTAAACAAGCTATAATCAAAAAGAACTATTGAAACAAAAATCAAGATCAGTTTTCAGCATCCTAGCACAGCTATACCGACTGTAGACTGTGCAGATGCTGTGCCAAGCAGAATCCCACAGGGAGGAGCTGGACACAGGCCTTGCCCTTGGGGAGCTCACTTGCCCTTGGGGAGGTCTGGAGGAGAGCGAATCCCAGCAGAGTGGGAAGAGGCTGAGATTGACCAAAGCCTGGGGAAGGAGAGGAGCTTGGAAGTCTGGCCCCTGCCCCAGATGGAATGGGGAAAAAAGGGCAGTAATTAGAGGGCAGGCAAAGAGGTAGAAACCAAATAAAAGCAAGAGGTAGCTAGATCTGGACAGGCCATCCACCGAGGCTGGCGGGGGCACTCTTGCAGGAGAATCACCTTTGGGGAAGCCATCTCCTCGACCCCATTGTCACTGAGGAAATGGAAGGGATTTCCAGGCCACTCTGCCACAGACTCATCAGGGAGCTCAGAACTTACTGTTTGGACGGGTGACGTTGAAAAGGAACTGTTGACAAAAGAAGAAAGATCAAGATCAGTTTTCCAGCATCCCTGGCACAGCTGTCGACTGCTTGTGAGCTGTGCAGATGCTGTGCCAAGCCCTCAGTCCACAGGGAGGAGCTGGACACAGGCCTTGCCCTTCATGGAGCTCACTTGCCCTTGGGGAGGTCTGGAGGAGAGTGAATCCCAGCAGAGTGGGAAGAGGCTGAGATTGACCAAAGCCTGGGGAAAGAGAGGAGCTTGGAAGTCTGGCCCCTGCCCCAGATGGAATGGGAAAAAAGGGCCCAGTAATTAGAGGGCAGGCAAGAGGTAGAAGCAAATAAAAAAGCAGAGGTGGCCTGAATCTGGACCATCCACTGAGGGGCTGTCGGGGGCACTCTTGCAGGGAGATCACCTTTGGGGAAGCCATCTCCTCCCCAGCCCCATTGTCACTGAGGAAATGGGAAGGGGGATTTCAGGCCACTCTACCTGTAGACTCATCAAGGGGAGCTCAAACTTACTGTTTGGACGGGTGACGTTGAGAAAGGAACTGTTGACAAAAAGAAAGATCAGGATCGGATTTTCGGCATCCCTGGCACAGCTGTCGACTGCTTGTAGGCTGTGCAGATGCTGTGCCAAGCCTGAGTCCACAGGGAGGAGCTGGACACAGGCCTTACCCATGGGAGCTCACTTGCCACAGGGAGTCTGGAGGAGAGCGAATCCCAGCAGAGTGGGAAGAGGCTGAGATTGACCAAAGCCTGGGGAAGGAGAGGAGCCTGGAAGTCTGGCCCCTGCCCCAGATGGAATGGGGAAAAAAGGGCAGTAATTAGAGGGCAGGCAAAGAGGTAGAAACCAAATAAAAGCAAGAGGTGGCCTAGATCTTGACCATCCACTGAGGGCTGAGCGGGGCACTCTTGCAGGAGAGATCTTCCTTTGGGAAGCCGTCTCCTCCCCAGCCCCATTGTCACTGGCGATGGGAAGGGGATTTCCAGGCCACTCTGCCACAGACTCATCAGGAGCTCAGAACTTACTGTTTGGACGGGTGGCGTTGAGAAAAGGAGCTGTTGACAAAGAAAAGATCAGATCAGTTTTCGGCATCCCTGGCACAGCTGTCGACTGCTTGTGAGCTATGCAGATGCTGTGCCAAGCCTGAGTCCACAGGGAGGAGCTGGACACAGGCCTTGCCCTTCAGGAGCTCACTTGCCCTTGGGAGGTCTGGAGGAGAGTGAATCCCAGCAGGTGGGAAGCTTGCCCTTGGGGAGCTCACTTGCCCTTGGGGAGGTCTGGAGGAGAGTGAATCCCAGCAGAGTGGGAAGAGGCTGAGACTGACCAAAGCCTGGGGAAGGAGAGGAGCCTGGAAGTCTGGCCCCTGCTCCAGATGGAATGGGGAAAAAAGGGCAGTAATTAGAGGGCAGGCAAAGAGGTAGAAACAGGGTGTCCCAGGCAGAGGAACAGCAGGTGCAACTGCACCCAGGTGGAAGAGATTTGGGAACCTCCATGTGGATGGAGCAGGCAGCGGAGGGGGAGAGGGCACCAAGCATAGGGAGCCCTGGCAGTCATGCTGTGCTGAGGAGGGGGTCACCACCAGAAGACCCTGAGGAATCACTTGAAGGGGCTGCACAGTGGAGAATGGATGAGAGGGGCAGGCCTGAAGCTGCTGCTGTGGGAGGCCAGAAGGAAATGACAAGGCAAGCAGGGGTGGGAGGTGGTATTGGAAAGGAAAGACCTGAGGTGCCAGGGCCATGCTGGGAACACTCAGAGCAGCTCGGGAGCAGGCAGGGAGAAGCTTAGCGATGCAGTGGGCCCCATTTGGCCAACACTGGTCAGGGTCTGGTGTCTGCGAGGACAGGCAAATCTGACAGATGGCAGGCCTCACCTCGGGACTGACTGGAGATCCTACTCTTAGGTGGGCCAAGCCACTGAAGCACAGAGAGGAGCACACCGTCCTGGTGGCTGGCAGGGGAGGGGACAGGGACTGTAGAGGAGGGCACCACAGATGAACTCCTTGGAGAGTGAGCAACACGCCCTGCACAGTCTAGGCAGCAGCAATGGAGAGACCTGGAGACCAGGGAAGTGGAATGGAAATCGGGGGGACTTACCAGGTGTCGATGGTGGGTTTCCTGAAAAGGAATAGAAGAAAAGCATAGGTCACAGACGTGTGGCTTTGAGGAGGGGCCAGAATGAGGCAGAGATACACGTACATGGCTCATACCCTGACCCCCTTGTCGAGGACCCCCAGGTCCACCGAGCAATTGCTGTTGAGAAGCCTTCACAGCTTCCCCAGATGCTCCCTAAATCCCGTCATACTTGTGGTCAACAGGATTACAGCTGAGGTCATAACACCCATCACTCTCTCCTTGACCATGACTGTTCTAAAATCATCCCAATTGTCTCTGGTAGCAAGTACTATCATAGCCACCCCGACTCAACAGTCAAGGAAACTGAAGCATAAAGAAGTTGAATCATTGCTAGAGGTCCTTTGGTCAGATGAGTGTTCAGCATAATGGCCCTGGGTCCAGAAACTGGCCAAAGATAAAGCAGCCCCCTGCATGCTCTTCTGGAGTGCACAGGCCACGAGCACCCATGACCAGCTCCTGCCTGGGCCACAGACACCATCAGCCACTGGCCTTAAGCTCTCCCTTTATAGCAGGTTACAGGTGAAATGGGCCTTCCATGGCATTGGGCCATACCTGAGCAGATGACACCAGCATCTTCGTTGTGATGACAGTTGTGGGAGAACCAGCCTCGGTTCCGGCACTGCCAGAGAGTGGATTCTGTCCCTGAGCACTCTACATCATCCAGGGTGATGGGGCCAGAGCCAGCGCCAAAATAGGCGTTTCCAAGGGCCGAAACTGCACGTCCACACCCCAGCTGTCTGCAGACCACCTCAGCTTCGTGAATGGTCCAGGAGTCATCACAAACTGTCCCCCAGGTGCCACCATGGTAAATTTCAACACGCCCGGCACATAGACCGTAGGATGAGTTTAAATTGACCAACCTCAAGGTGGCATCTGAAAGACACATTAACTGGGAAATCATGGCCATTTCCCACAACAAATGTCCCACAACAAACCTCAAAGGCCAAGCATCCCACAGGCCTTTCCCCACCTCCAAAGTCATCAAATAGAAATGTGGAAAAGCTGGAGTGGAGGTACTGGACCACTCCATGCAGAGCTGAAAGGGGCTCCAGACATTGCCAAGCTCAGATCCCCTCACCTCCAGACAGAGAGGGGTGGCTCTGCAAGGAGAGTCACCAGGTCCCCCAGAAAATTGGTGGCAGACCCAAGGCCAGGTGTGACACCCCAGTCTGCACCCTTTGCTGCCTTCACAAGGGCCTGCCCCTCCTTGAGGCTCACACAGTCAGTGCTAACAGAAGGAGAATGGGCAATGCATTGCTGAGGCCTTTCTTTGATTTCCTTGGGGAACCATGATGCCCCCAAAGAGGCAGCTGGGTAAATCCACCAAGCCTCGTAGGCATGGTCTAGTGTGCACTTACCGCTTGGGAAGGAGTTATACCAAGCCAAAAAGCCGGTGTTTTGGAAACTGATGTCACTTCGAAAGTGAATGGTCATTCGGTTGTAAGAAGATGTAAATATTTGCCTGGTATCATTACAGATTTTCCCCAGCAGGTGACTGCTATTTAATGATCCGTCAAAGATTTCAACATAATCAAAACTGCAGTTATAGTGCGCCTCCAATCTGTATGGAGAAAATGTATTCAAGTCAACATCGAAATTCCTATTGGCCCTCCATTTTTTAAATAGTTTGGACTTTACGAGTGATGCCATTGAATACAGGTTTTTCTTCTAGCTCTTCCTCAATTAAGTCAAAGGACATCAGTATTCCCTGATGCTTTAATGATAAGAACCAAAGCCACCAAAAGCTTGTCCACAGCACACGAGAGTGAAAAGCATCCCAGCCCAGGACACAGTCTAAACCACTGGGTGTGCTGCAGAGGGACTCCCCCCTCACCAGATGGCCAGGCATTACTTACTGCAGATTACTGAAGCCCAGGTTTATGCGATAACCAGAATTCACTTCTATTTCCCAAACACACTTAGCATTGTTGGGGTAGTATGCGGGGTAGGATGGGCTGGAGAATGTCCCACTGGCACTGAATAAGAAGCCACCACAATTTGAAGAGGGTCCTAGAGAGGAGAGAGGGGACATCTCCATTGTACCGGGTCTTCAGGTATTTTGTGACAAGCAATCATCCGTGTAAGTCTCATCCAGTTTCATCTTCCACACTTTATAACATGACTTAACTTTCCCTGTAAACAAGTCCCCTCTCTTGGGCTTGGTTCGAGGTGGCCCAGCATTAGGAGCTTTGATTCGAGTCTGCTTTCCCTGTTGGGCCTGGACAGCAATCCTCTGGGAGGAGGTGACCTAAGCTTCAGAGGGAGCATGAGTCACCTCTAGCAAAAATGCCAAGAAAGCAACAAACTGACTGCTATCATTGTTCAATCAGCTACAGACAGGGACGTGGGATAGTCCCGGCCGAGCACAGCACTGACCCGTGGAGAGCACTCCATAATACAGGGTGTTCCCTAGCGTCTTCCATGAGCACAGGACTCTATCAATTCACAAGTAGCACAACGTTGGGTTAGGAGCAGGGTTTCTGCAACAAGAAGCCTGGGTTTGCATCTTGGCTCTGCCTCTATCAGTTCCATGATCCGGAGCCAGTTACTTAACCTCTCTGCCTCAGTTTCCTCATCAGAAAAATGAGAGTGGTAATGGCATCTGCCTCATCAGACTCTTACGGGGATTAAATAAGATATGTATATATGAACATTTACACATAAACATGAGATATGTTTCTATGTCTATATAAACTCTTAGAGAGTGCCAGGCACATAAGCACCCAGCAATATTAGCTATTGCTATTTATCAGAAAGGGATAAATACTAAATAGTCAAACATTTTGTGGGTGGTTTATAGTAATAAAAATTTTTTCAAAATGTGCACACTCAGTGATATAAATTAAAACGTTTTCTTTTTCTTTTCTTTTTCATAACTCTTTGTTTAGTTTTTCTAAGGAGACAAGTCCCTGGTTTTTAGCATACTCAGAGCTCTGAAATCACCACAGTTTTAGATTATTTTCATCACCCTAAAGAGAAACCTTGTTTAGGAGTGATTAGCAATCACTCCCCATTTCTTCTCAACATCCTCCATTCCTGGCAACCACTGATCTACTTTTCTGTCTCTATAGATTTGACTATTCTGGACATTTCATATAAAACAAATTGTACAATATGATAGTCTTTTTTGACTTACTTCTCAACATGTTTTCAAAGTTCATCATGTTGTAGCATAAATCAGTATTAAATTCTTTTTATTTATTTATTTTTTTTGAGACCGAGTTTCACTCTTGTAGCCCAGGCTGGAGTACAATGGCACGATCTCAGCTCACTGCAACCTCCGCTTCCCAGATTCAAGCGATTCTCCTGCCCCAGCCTCCCAAGTAGCTGGGATTACAGCCGCCCACCATCACGCCCAGCTAATTTTTGTATTTTTAGTAGAGACAGGGTTTCACCATGTTGGCCAGGCTGGTCTCAAAGTCCTGACCTCAGCCAATCCACCCATCTCAGCCTCCCAAAGTGCTGGGATTACAGGTGTGGGCCACCGCGTCCGGCCACTATTAAATTCATTTTTATTGCCAAATAATACTCCACTGCAGGGACGTATCATATTTGTTTCTCGATTCACCATGAGGAACATATGCATTGTGTTCACATTTGGCTACTATGAACGAAGCTGTCCTGAACATTCACATACAAGTTTCTGTGTGGACGTACGTTTTCATGTCTCCTGGGTATATGCCTAGGAGTTCAAGTGGTGGGTCATATGGTGACTCCAGGTCTAACCTTTTGGGGAGCCACCAAACTGCTTCTCAAAGTGGCTGTACCATTTCACATTCCCTGAAGCCATGCATAAGGTTTCCAATTTCTCCACATCCTCATCACTACTTGCTATGATCTGGCTTTTTGACTACGACCCACCTACTGGGTGTTTCATTTGCATGTCCTTGACGGCTAATGACATTGAGCATCTTTCCAATGCCTTCTCTGCCATCTGTGAATCTTCTGTAGAGAAATACCTTTTAGGTCTTTTGCTTATTGTTCAGTTGGGTTATTTGACTTTTTATCATTGACTACAAGAGTCACTTATATATCATAGGTACAAGTCCCTTATGAGATAGAAATGTGTTCTCCCATTTGGTGGGAATACAGTGTTTCTTGAAGATCGTGTGGCCTGCCCACCCATTCTATTTCTACACTGGGAAATAATTAAGGATAAAGTCAAACTTTCAGAGACAAGGATACGAATTACTTATTTCTAAACATTAAATAGAAATGGTTATAAAATATGCTATTATATGTAGTTACTTAACATTATAAAATATAATTGGAAACAATGTTTTTGTCCCACAATTAGTAACTATTTAACTAAATGATGGTATATCTATACAGTGGAAAATTGTGTAGTCATTAAACCTTCTTCTATACAAATAATTTCAATGTTATAAAAATGCTAATTTTAAGGTCATGAAAAAAGTATTATATCCACTTAAATGAAAATGATGGGTTATACAATGGGATATAAAGCATGCCATACCGTGTGTGTGTGTGTGTGTGTGTGTGTGTGTAGTGTATGGAATGTATGCCAAAATGCCAACAGTAATTATGTATGTATTCATTAATTTATCCATTCATTCATTTATTCTTTCAATAAATAGTTCTTGAAAGGCAGACACAATGCTGCATAATAAGGATACATTATGGAAAAGGCAGACATGGCCCCTGTCTCCAGGAAATGCAGTTTGGCAGAAAAGATAAACATGATCTTTTGCAAATATATTTCCAATTAGCTAATTCTCCAGATTAAAATCTTTCCACAGCCTCCCTACCTTTAGGATAAAGATGGAAGTCTTAACCCACCCACAAGGCCCTGAATGATCTGGCCTCACCCAACAGATTTCCTGCAGTCCCTCCTTGCCCCCACCCCACTCTCCTTCAAAGAGCCAAGCTCCTTCCCAGCCTAGGGCCTTCAAAGCATTCCTTCTAGTTAGAAGACACTTCAGCAAATGAAGCTGCTCCTCTATTAACTCCCAGCTTAAATGTCACTTCCATAAGGAACTTCCCCTAAGCCCCCAGTCAAGGAAGATCTCTACTAATCCTTCCTCTTTGCACACTGAACTTTTCCTTGGAAACACTTGTCACAGCTGTAATTTTCTAGTTGGTTGTGTGTTAAATAATACTGTGAGCTCTGAGGAGGAAGATCACTTTGTCTGTTACATCATTCCATAATTTTACAACCATTCTTGATGGTAGTTGGACCATACACACAGCAAGATCTTAAAATACCTAACACAGTAAAAGTTAGTATGTATGGAGTACATTCTATGTACCAGGCACTATGTTGATGTTGACTTTAGTCCAGTATACCCATTTATATCCTAAAGGAAAAATTAGTGAGGTATGCAAAAAAAATTGTCTATAAAAATATTCTTCACCACAAAATCATTTACAGTAATGAAGAAATACAAACAAATATCTAGTATCTGAGGATTTGTCAAAGAATTCATGGCGTATCTCTATAGTAGAATACAATACAGGCACTTAAAATAATTGTGAGAAAAGATTTAATAACACAGAAAAGTAGTCCTACTATTTTTTAAAAGCAATGAAAATCTATTGAAACATATCCATATAGTGAAATAAAAATGACGTGGAAAAGCATAATTTGTAGTAAAATTATCCATTTACCATTTGTCTCCCTTCTTCTTCCCAAAGCTTTGGAGATACCCCCCAAAATAAAAGCCTTTAAGTCGATTATTTTAAGAATACTTATCTCATTGATTCAAATGAAGAGGTGAAGGGTGTAGTTGGACAGGCCAGGGCTATGTGCAGATTGAGGAAGGCTGGGGTGGGGCCAGAGCATTCACTCATGGATAGCCCAGCTTGAGGATAAGAAATGCATGACCTATGGTTCAGGTGGAAAACGTGATACTTACTTGTAGTGATTGTAGTTGTTGGATGCCACCAATCTAGAAAAAAAAAATGAAGCTGTTTAGGAATTTACTAGATAATTTTTCCATTCCATAGTCATTTGTATGACTGACAAAGTTAAATCCTTTTCCTTAGTATAGGACTTCTCAGAGCCTTGACCATTCCAGTTTACACTGTTCATGGCCAGTAAGGTCTAGAGTATATAGCACCTCCCAACATATTTGGCCCAGGATATTTCCACTGTGGCACAAAAACATGTTGGGGATGGCTCCCTCAAAGTGAAAGAATTCTTCATTTGACAAATACATGCAGAAGTCTCGCTTGGCTATGTTTCTAAAATGAAGGTCCTAATTTTCCATGGGTTAATTTAGACAGTTATTTTCATCTGAAATAATGGGAGGACCAAAGCCTCCTTCTGCAGCAGCATCTCTGCCAGCACTTAGCACTATCAGCAGGCAATAGCAGGAGGCCACAGGGGCCCTCTGCAGTGAGCCAGACATGAGAGTGATGGCAGTGGGAACTCAGCTCCTCACCCTAACAAAGGTCTGAGCCCTCAGAGAGAAATTACCCCTCAGGGGGAACTTACCCTACTCCTCCTACTTCTGGAAACAAGAGAGAGTGGAATTTCCAAGAGAATATTGCTAGGCTGGGGTGGAGCAGACTCACCTGACACAGTAGAATTTATCTGGGTGGCTGCAAGGAAAAGAAGAAAACGTGAGTCAGTCCCAGTGCCCAGGATGATGAGTGAGATAAATGTTGAGTGTCTGTCCCCACCTTGTCACTTAGAAATGCTCCCCCAGAGTCATCCAGGAGAGTGGAACAGTAGACATAAACATTAAGGGTTAGTCTCAAAAAAGGTGTTTGAAGAATTCACTCTTACAGCTGAAAGTGGACTGAACCCTTGTTTGCTATAGGAACCTATGTAAGGAAGAAGCTAGTGCCTACCCATAAAAGTCAAAGACATCGACAACATTTGCTGATGTTCTTGCCCTGTTGAGGTATCAGAGAAACTGGCCATCTAGAAGAGAAGCTCAGGCTGGGAGGAGGCTAGTGCAAAGAGAAGCCTTGTCATGGAGAAAACCATGCACTAAAATAGAGGCCCAAGTCTTGGAGGCCCATCTGAACAGATGACAGTGGCTTCACTATGCTGACAGCTGTGGGAGAGCCAGTCATTGTGGGGGCAGCTCCACAGGTAGGACTCGTTCCCTGAGCAGCGCACATCATCCAGGACAATGGGTCCTGAGCCCTGACCAAACTGGGCATTTCCAGGGGCTGACATGGCCCAGCCACAGCCCAGCTGCCTGCAGACCACATTGGCATCATTGGTGTCCCAGCTGTCATCACACATGGTGCCCCAGGAGCCTTGGTATAGGACCTCCACTCCTGACACCTGTCACCTCCATTCACCAGCCTCAGGGACACACCAGAATTGGATTCTAGAAGAGACAGGAAAATTCACTCTCTCCTGTATCTGCTAAAGGGAGAGGATGTGAGGTCAGAGTGAAGTTCTGAATTCTTCCAGAAGGCCAAGGTTTCTGGGTCTCCAGTCAATGTTCTCCAGCAGCATAGACATTGACAGAAGCCTGTTCTTCAACATGTTATCCTTAAGGGCTGTCTTCTAGAACCTTTGGGCACGGACTGAGCTGTGCATGTTCTCCAATGGAGTTATCTCAGTGCCCAGAAATTCAAGTGCTGAGCCAGGCCTTCAGATTCAGAGGTTAAAGTGCAGAAGCCATCAGCCTGGATCTGCAGGGACCACTGGGCTCAAGCGCCCCTGCAGCAGGATGCAACCGAGACCAGCTCCCACTTGCCTGGCAAAGTGCAGCCCTAGGACCTGGTTCTTGGGAGATTCCACTTCTCCACCTCTGGCTGACTCACTCTGCTCACAGGGACCACCCCATCAGGCCTAAGGCTTGTTCCTGAGTCACTTTCAAACCCACAGCTTGCCTTCAATCTGAAACGAAACCTGGACCCACTGAATACCATGAGCTACAGGGACAGTGGGCAGAAGTGACTATGATAACACTTAGTTGTGCATACCTAGAGGTGCCTATGCCTGAGAGTGGAGGAAAATGGCAGAGTTAGGCCTCCATGAAGGAATGTCACATGCTAGACACAACACTGGGCCAAGTATCCTGATCCCTCTGTGTAACTGAACCCTGTCCGGTGAGCTCAGGAGCTGGGCTAAGATACTGATATTAGTCTAGTTCTTCTGGTCTTCAGCTTAGTATCTATAAAACGAAGCCACTCTTCTCCCAAGAATATATACAAAGGGCCCACCAACACATGAAAAGATGCTCAGCATGATTAGTCATCAGGGCAATGCAAATCAAAACACCATGAAATACCACCTTACACCCACTAGGATGGCCATGATGAAAAAGACATCATAACAAGTGTTGGTGAAGATATAGAGGAATCAGAATTCTCAGGCATTGCTGGGGGGAAAGCAAATTGGTACAGCAGCTATGGCAACTGTTCAGTGTTTCCACAATAAATTAAACATAATTACCCTATTACCCAGCAATCCCACTCCTAGGTATATATCTCCCAAAATTGGAAACACAAGTGCAAACAAAAAATCATACACTAATGTTCATAGCAGCCTTATTCACAACAGCCAAAAGATGGAAGCAATCCAAATGTCCATAAGCTGATAAATGGATAGACAAAAGATGGCATGGCCATACAATGGAATATTAGTTGGCAATTAAAAGTAATGAAGTTCTGACACATGCTAAAACATGAATGAACCTTGGAAACATTATGTTAAGTGAATGAATCCAGACAGAAAAGGCTATGATTCCATTCACAGAAAATGATCAGGGTTCTTAGTAAAATCTGTATACAGAGACAGAAAGCAGATTAGTGGTTGCCAGGAGCTGAGGGAAAGAGGAATGGATTATGAATGGTTAAGGGGTAAGAGCTTTCAGTTGGGGATAATGAAAAAGTCCTGGAACTAGATAGAGATTATGGTAATGAACATGGACAACAGCCAGGGAGAGGGAAGGTTCCATCTTGGGATAGAGGGGTAACGTCAGCCAACAAAGAGCAGAGAGTATCAAAGGAAAGGAAGGGTCCAACTAAGGGACTGCTGACTCTGTCTCAAACATCCTGCCTGTTTTTTATTCTAATAGAAACAGTCATTCCTATTTTAAAAAGTAGCATCCTACAAGGTTCAAGTACAGCCTAGTGCCCCCATCCTTCCCATCGCTCCAAGGGAACACAAAGATGGGTATAGAACTCTGGCTGAGTCATCAGAGCTAATAGAGATGGTTTGGAAGAAAGAACCTGTTGACAAGCAGGTCAATCAGAGTCCTCTCAGGCCTTGTCAGCCAGAGGTACTGGGACAGACTGACTCCTTCTCCTGGTGGGATATAGACTTGGGGCTGCCCTCTGCTGTCTTTCAGCCATATGCAAAAAGCAAGTTAATAGTGACGCCCACACAGATAAAAGAGTAGATGTAAGCAAAGCATAGGGAAAAAAGACTTGGAACTTCCGGAACCAGCTGTACCTGAAGCTCCAGATCCACCACTAAACATTCTGGATACCGGAGCCAATGAATTCCTTTCTAGCTAAAGAGAGTTTGAGTTCAGTTCCTGCCATGTACAAACAAAAGCATCCCTAATAATAAATCCTCTTTAAAGATCAATTGACAACTGGTAAATAAAGGAACCTTCCACATTGAATGAGGTAAGGAGTGGCCAGAGGCTTCAAGCAAGACCCAGGAGTTTCACCCAGACCTGCTGAATGCCAGTGCTTTGGCTGGACTCGAAGAGGCTCCTTAGAAGGGGTCCAAGCAGATTCTGCCCACCATTTCCAGCTCCAAGGCGATTAACTCTGTGTCTGGATGTGATGTCCAAGTTGAACCAAAACCAACCCTTTCCCTTGCAGGTTTTAGCAATTCACCAAGTCAGCAAGTCTCAGGATACCACTCCAGCAAAAATCTCTTGTGTGATCTTCCATCCCAAACCACAGGTAATAACAAGGGTTTGCCTGGCAGATCTCATGGGGGCTGCCCTCCCAACACCAGGCTTGCTAGACAGACAATGCACTTCAGTTCTTTGGAAGGAGCTGAAACTGACCAAGAACCAGGTCACACATGCAGGGCTACACATTTACACTCCTAGCCCATATGCCTCCAATCCAAATCCTCCTTACTGGGGCCTTAAGTGAGAATTCCCTACCCCAAAATATATCCTTTCCTTACCATGAGCCTCTCCCAAGGAGAGGATCCCTCCTCTGCCCCACTGTCTGTGCAGTGGCTACCATACCCTCATCCACTGTTACTCAGCAGGGGAGGAATGGAACCCTGGGGAGCCAGCAGTTTTCTCTTCTGCCTCTTCCTTGCACTGCCTCAGGAAGGGGATAAAGTCGGGATTGTTGTCTGAGTTTGGCCCCTTCTCCTAAGTGACCATAGGAACACCAGGCAGTGAATTCATATGGATTCTTAGCAGAGAGCTAACAAGTCTTCAGAAACATAGAAAACATAGAAGAACCTTCGAGTGAGATCAGAATGTATTTACGATTTTCCTCTGGAGCAAACTCCACCCCAAGAGAGGGAGCCCACCCTTGGGTCTGGAAAATCTAGAAGGCCCACCTGAGCAGATGACACCAGCATCTTCATGATGGCCACAGTTGTGGGAGAGCCAGCCTCTGTGGGGACAGTTCCACAGGTAGGACTCGTGTCCTGAGCAGCGCACGTCATCCAGAACTATGGGTCCTGAGCCCTGGCCAAACCGCCTCGTGGGGACAGTTCCACAGGTAGGACTGTGTCCTGAGCAGCGCACGCCATCTCAGAACTAATGGGTCCTGAGCCTGGCCAAACCGGGTGATTTCCTGGGGCTGACGTGGCTCCAGCTTACAGCCCAGCTGCCTGCAGACCACATTGGCATCATTGGTGTCCCAGTAGTCATCACGGTGCCCCAGGAGCCTCGGTATAGGATCTTCCACTGCCCCGACACCGGTTACCTCCATTCACCAGCCTCAGGCCAAACTGATTCAGATCCTACAGGGGAACACAAGAACCCTTCTGCATCCATACTGATTATGAGGTCAAGGATTTAAAGGAATGCCCTCCTACACTCAGGGCACTTCCCTCATGGCCAAAGTCACGTGGGCAGGTAATCACCTTCTCAATACAAATGCAAACAGAGTGTTCAGCTTCATCATAGTGGAAGAAGCAGTGAGGTCCTACTCTGCCCAACACTATGAAAGCTCAAATAATTGGGAAAGTACCTGTGACTCCACTAAAGTGACAGGAATGGAGGCCTCACTCCTCATTCTGAGCTCCATTCTCACACAGGATGAAGCCCCACAGCCCAGACAGAGGCCGAGACCGCCTCATGTTCAGGAGTTTGGTGGCACCCAGGACCTCTCGGCTTCTAGCAAATGCCAGGAATGGCAGTGACTTTGGCCAGACGGGGCGTAAGTGGGACAGGCACTTCCCCTCTCTTCTCAGGTCTGCAGCCTGTGGCCTGAGGGCCAGGAATAAGGCCCAGTAGGATTAGGGAAACCTCCAGGCTTGTCCTGAGCACCTGGATGAGGATCTTTCCTGGACTACATAAAAATAAAATCCCAGGGGGAGACAGGCTTACTGGCACCCTCCAGCCTCCCAACATTGACCCAGTGAAATAGATTCCCAGAGAGTCCACCTTTCTCCCCAGGCAACTCGCAGAAACATGAAAAACAGAGTCACCCACTTGAGCCTCATTCTATCATTTTCAAAAGAAACACCTGTCCAGAGGTAGAGAGTGAGCTCTGGGAGGAGTGGAGAGGATGATTTACCTATTGGCGGTGTTCGTAAGTTGTGGGCTGAAGCATATCTAGAATTCCAACAAAGAGAAAGGACAAAATTAGACTTGAAGGTGAAAAGCTACAAAAAGAAAAAAAAGTCTCTGGATCAGGCAAGCATCATGAAAACTATTCAATTTCTGGTTCCTGCCACTTGCTCCAAGTGCTGCCCAAGTCTTCAGCTCAGTGAGCTCAGCCAGGAACAAAAGCCTTGCTGGGAGACCTGGCCTCACCTCCTACCTCTGAAGTGTGAGATGTCCTTTCTCGGCTACAAAGGGTTAGCCTGCCCCATCCAGTGGACACATGGACTGATGGGTACATTCACACCATTGCTGGGAGACTCTGACAGTTGGAGCTAAAATGTTAGGAAACCAAGGAGCCATCCAAAGGGGTAACAGGTTTTGGGTAAGGAGTGAATGAAATATTTATTATCCCTCTCCTGCCTAAGCATGCCTCCTGGGCTTTTCTGGATGCAGATGTGGCCCTGCAAAATCTGGGCTGTTTGAAGGAGGGAGGGATGGAGGTATCAGGCCTGCACTGACATTGCTTGCCCATGGCAGAAGTCATGTTTAAGGCCTTGAACTGACATTGCCTTCCCGGGTGACTGTGGCAATCACTCTCAATTCTCAGAAAGGTTATATCAGCTCATCATGAAAGAGCCAAAACTCATTAAACATTAGGCCACTTCCTGAACCTGTAAAGGTTGTCCATTGTACAAAAGTGAACTGCTTCATGAAAGCTGAGATAAATGAACAGGAAAACAAAGCCTCCTGAACCCTAGGTCTGTTGAAGCACTGTGGTGTAGTCTCAGTTACAGAGTGGTGGGGTGAAAAATAACATGATAACATGCCCTACAGTATCTGCACAGAGAAGCAGGAGAGCTCTGTGGGAGTGGGGAAGAGGTAACTTGGCAGAAAGAGAAGGGCTGATCCTGAGGAAGGATGTTGGGGACTCACCTGGCCTGGCTGCTGACTGGGACTGGAGCAGCTGGGGAAAAGAGAAGGTCGGATCAGATGCGGCTCATACACAAAAATGGCAAACCGGAACAAAGGTAGAAGGAACTGGACAAGCCTGACACTCAGTCCATCCTAGTCCCTGTCACAGAGGGAGAGGCATTGCCGTGACATCCCCACAGATGCACCATAAGTGGGTATGGGCAGATCCCAGCCACTATTGTCAGCTCTGAGGTATGATCAGGTCTGCCCAGGGTGACCTGGATTGACCCAAACCAACCCTCTCCCTTGCATTGTTTGAGTTCCTGAGTCAGCAAGGCTGGAGGAGGCCACTCCAGCCTCAAATGCCCCCATCTCTCCTTCCAGACCACCACCGCAATAAGCCAAGTGCCTTCTGGCTGGCTTCATGGGGCTGCTCACCGCACTCCAGACCTGAGCTCAGGGCAGTGCTCTGCAACCTTTCTGAGAGGACCTGAGGTCAATGTGACTAACTCCAGTGTGACCCAGGCTCTGACACAAACAGACATGCATTTGCACCCCTAACCCTTGAGCCTCATTTCCAGACGTCCCGTTGATCTCAGCTGAGAACCATTTCCAGACAAGCATCTTTAGTTCAGAGAGTTCCTCACAGTGAGGATCCCTCCCTGTCTCCTGCTGCTCAGCCAGTGCCGTGTCCACAATACCCTCACCCAGCGCTACTCAGCAGGGGAGAAATGGAGACTTGGGGAGCCAGCACGTTTCTCTTCTGCCTCTTCTTTGCACTACCTCAGGAAGTGGATAAAGTCTGGGTGGTTGTCTCATTTGGAGCCCCGGCTTGGCAATTGTGTACTGTAGCAAAATTCATACAGATTCTTAGCAGAGAGCTAACGAGACTACAGAAATATAGAAAACATAGAAGAAGCTGGATAGAGATCACAATGTAATTAGGATTTTCCCTAGGCAAACGTCAATCTAAGAGAGGCAGCCCAAGGTCTTTAATGCCCACCTGGAGCAGATGACACCAGCTGCCTTTCATGATGGCCAGTTGTGGGAGAGCCAGCCTCTGTGGGGACAGTTCCACAGGTAGGACTCCTGTCCTGAGCAGCGCACGTCATCCAGGACAATGGGTCCTGAGCCCTGGCCAAACCGGCATTTCCTGGGCTGACGTGGCTCAGCCACAGCCAGCTGCCTGCACAGACCACATTGGCATCATTGCGTCCCAGCCGTCATCACACACGGTGCCCCAGGAGCCTCGGTATAGATTCCTCCACTCGCCCTGACACCTGTCACCTCCATTCACCAGCCTCAGGGCCAAACTGGATTCAGATCCTACAGGGGAACACAAGAACCCTTCATCCATACTGATTATGAGTTCAAGGATTTAAGGATTTAAGGAATGTTCTACACTCAGGGCAGTTCCTCATGGCCAAAGTCACGTGGGCAGGTAATCACCTTCGAATATGAATACAAACAGAGGCTCAACTTCATCATAGTGGAAGAAGCAGGAGGTCCTTACTCTGCCCAAGTCTATGGAATCTCAAATAATTGGGAAAGCACCTGTGACGCACTGGAGGTGACAGGAATGGAGGCCTCACTCCCTCATTCTGAGCTCCATTTCACACAGGATGAAGCCCTGCCAAGCCCAGAGCAGGAGGCCGACCTGCCTCATGTTCAGGAGTTTGGTGGCACCCACAGGGTCCTCTCTGGCTTCTAACAAAGTGCCAGGAATGGCAGGACTTTGGCCAGACGGCAAGTGGGACAGGCGCTTCCCCTCTTCTCAGGTCTGCAGCCTGTGGCCTGAGGGCCAGGAACAAGGTCCCAGTAGGATTAGGGAGCCCTCCAGGGCTTGTCCTGAGCACCTGGATGAGGATCTTTCCTGACTACATAACACAGAATCCCGGGGGAGACAGGCCACCAGCACGCTCCACCCACCAATATCAGACCCAGAACTAGGGATTCCCAGGAGTCCACCTTTCTCCCCAGGCCATTCGCAGAAACATGAAAAACAGAGGCTCCCACCTTGAGCCTCATTCTATCATTTTCAAAAAGAGAAACACTTGTCCAGAGGTAGAGAGTGAGCTCCCTGAGGAGTGAGAGGATGATTTACCTATTGGCGGTGGCTGGGGTAAGTTATGGTCAGCCAAGTATCTGTAAATTCCAACAAAGAGAAAGGACAAAATTAGACTTGAAGATGAAAAGCTACCAAAAACAAAGTCTCTGGATCAGGCAAGCATCATGAAACTATTCACTTGGTTCCTATACCGGTTCCAAGTGCTGCCCAAGTCTTCAGCCAGTGAGCCTGGGGCCAGGAACAAAAGCCTTGCTTGAGACCAGTCTCACCTCCTACCTCTGAAGTGAGGATGTCCTTTTCTCTGCCACAAAGGGTTAGCCTGCCCCATCCAGTGACACATGGACTGATGGGCACATCTGACACCATTGCTGAGACTCTGACAGTTGGAGCTAAAATGTTAGGAAATCCATGAGTCAGCCCAAACGGGGTATCAAGTTTCTTGGTAAGTGGAGGCATCAGAAATATTTATTATCCCTCTCCCTGCCCAAGCATGGCTCTCCGGCCTTCTGATGCAGATGTGGCCCTGCAAAATCTGGGCTACTTGAAGGAGAGAGGGGGTGGAGGCGCATCAGGCCTGCACTGATACTGCTTGCCCATGGCAGAAGTTTAAGGCTCGAACTGACATTGTCCTCCCAGGTGACTGTGGCACCGCTCTCACCCTCAGAAAGGCTAGTAGTCAGCTCTGAACATGAAAGAGCCAAAACTCATTAAACATGAGGCCACTTTCTGAACCTGTAAGGGGTTGTCCATTGTACAGTATGAAACTGCTTCAAGGAAAGCTGAGATAAATTGAACAGTAAACAGAAGCTTCCTGAACCCTAGGTCTGTTGAAGAACCGTGCTGGGGTCTCAGTTACAGAGTGGTCAGGGTGAAAATAACACATGCCCACAGTATCTACACAGAGAAGCAGGAGAGCTCTGTGGAGTGGGGAAGATGTAACTGGGCAGAAAGAGAAGGGACATCCTGAGAAAGGGATGCTGGGGACTCACCTGGCCTGGGCGCGCTGACTGGGACTGGAGCAGCTGTGAGAAAAAGAAGGTCGGATCAGATGTACGTTACAGCCAAAATGGCAAAACCTCAACAAAGGGAGAAGGGGAACTGGGCAAGCCTGACACTCAGTCCATCCTAGTCCCTGTCACAGAGGGGGAGAGGGTGATTGCCGTGGAGCATCCCCACAGAGATGCACCATATAAGGGGTCTGGGCAGATCCCAGCCACTATTGTCAGCTCCGAGGTGAGTAACTGTGTCTGCCTCCAGAGTGACCAGTATTGACTCAAAACCAACCCTTTCCCTTGCATGTTCTGGCAGTTCCTGTGAGTCAGCAAGGCTGAGGAGGCCGACTCCAGCCCAAATGCCTGTGTGATCTTCAGACCCCGAAGCAGGCAATAACAAGCCATGCCTGGAAGGTTTCATGGGGGCTGCCCTCTGCACACTGACTCTGGGGTACAGGCAGTGCTCTGCAGCCTTCTGAGGACCTGAGGTCAAGGAGTGCAACCCCATGTGACCCAGGGGCCTGGACACACAAACGGACATGCATTTGCACTCTAACCCTTGAGCCGCTATTTCCAGACGTCCCTACTGGGTCTCAGCTGAGAACTCCATTTCCAGACAAGCATCTTTAGTTCATTAGAGTTCCTCTGCAGTCAGAGGATCCCTCCCTGCCCCTGCTGTCTGTGCTGTGTCCACGATACTCCCTCACCCAGCTACTCAGCAGGTGAGAATGAGCCCTGGGAGCCAGCTCGTTTCTCTTCTGCCTCTTCCTTGCACTACCTCAGGAAGCAGATAAAGATGGGTGGTTGTTTCCAGCTTGGAGCCCAGCCTAAGTGATTCACAGCTAAAGCACCCACAAGTTCTGTAGCAAGATTCATACAGATCTAGCAGAGAGCTAACGAGACTACAGAACATAAAGAAAACATAGAAGAAGCTCTGCGAGGAGAGATCAGAATGCACTAGGACTTTCTTCCGGAAAAAATGCTACCCCAAGAGATGGAGCCCACTCTTGGGTCTGGAAGGTCTTTAATGCCCACCTATGGACAGATGACACCAGCGCTTTCATGATGGCTACAGTTGGGAGAGCCAGCTCTGTGGGGACAGTTCCACAGGTAGGACTCCTGTCTGAGTAGCGCACGCCATCCAGGACAATGGGTCCTGAGCCCTGGCCAAACCGGGCATTTCCTGGGGCTGACGTGGCTCAGCCACAGCCCAGCTGCCTGCAGACCACATTGTGCATAATCATTGGTGTCCCAGCTGTCACTTCACACACGGGTGCCCCCAGGAGCCTTTGGTATAGGACCTTTCACTCGGCCTCTGACACCGGTTACCTCCATTCACCAGCCTCAGGCCAAACTGGGATTCAGATCCTGCCAGAGGAGGAACACACACAAGAACCCTCATCCATACTGATTATGAGTTCAAGGATTTAAGGAATGTTTCTACACTCAGGCACCTCTCATGGCTAAAGTCACGTGGGCAGGTAATCACCTTCGAATATGAATACAAACAGAGGTTCAGCTTCATCATAGTGGAAGTGGCTGGTGAGGTCCTACTCTGCCCAAGTCTATGAAAGCTCAAATAATTGGGAAAGCACCTGTGACTCCACTGAGGTGACAGAATGGAGGCCTCACTCCTCATTCTGAGCTCCATTCACACAGGATGAAGCCCCATGTGCCCAGATAGGATGCTGAGGACCTGCCTCATGTTCAGGAGTTTGGTGGCACCTCCATAAGGACCTCTCTGGCTTCTAGCAAAGTGCCAGAATGGTAGGACTTTGGCCAGACGGCGGCTGACAGGCACTTTCCCCACTCTTCTCAGGTCTGCAGCCTGTGGCCTGGAGGGCTAGGAACAAGGTCCCGTAGGATTAGGAGCCTCTCCCGGGCTTGTCGTGAGCACCTGGATGAGGATCTTTCCTGACTACATAAAACAGAATCCCGGGAGACAGTCAATAGGCACCCTCCAACCCTCCAACATCAACAGACTCCAGGACTAGGTTCCCAGGATGTCCACCTTTCTCCCCAGGCCATTCGGTGCAGAAACATGAAAACAGAGGCTCCCACCTTGAGCCTCATTCTATCATTTTCAAAAGAGAAACACTTGTCCAGAGGTAGAGAGAGCTCTGGGTGGAGTGAGAGGATGATTTACTCATTGGTGGTGTCTGTAAGTCTGTGGTCAGCCAAGTATCTGTAAATTGCAACAAAGAGAAAGGACAAAATTAGACTTGAAGATGAAAAGCTACCAAAAACAAAGTCTCTGGACCAGGCAAGCATCATGAAAACTATCTGAATTTCTGGTTCCTGCCACTTGCTCCAAGTGCTGCCCAAGCTTTCAGCTCAGTGAGCTCAGCCAGGAACAAAAGCTCACAGACCAGTCTCACCCCTCCTACCTCTGAAGTGTGAGATGTCCTTTTCTCGGCTAAAGGGTTAGCCTTGCCCCATCCAGTGACACATGGACTGATGGGCACATCTGACACCATTGTATGAGACTCTGACAGTTGGAGCTAAATGTTAGGAAATCAAGGAGCCGCCTAAACGGGTATCAAGTTTCTTGCAAGTGAGGCATCAGAAATATTTATTATCCTCTCCTGCCTGCCATGGCCTCTGCCTTTCTGGATGCAGATGTGGCCCTGCAAAATCTGAAGGTTTGAAGGAGAGAGGGGTGGGAGGCGATCAGGCCTGCACTGACATTGCTTGCCCATGGCAGAAGTTTAAGGCTCGAACTGACATTGTCCTCCCAGGTGACTGTGGCAATCGCTCTCAATTCTCAGAAAGGCAGATTGGGCTCTGAATATGAAAGAGCCAAAACTCATTAAACATGAGGCCACTTTCTGAACCTGTAAGGGTTGTCCATTGTAATAGCAGAAACTGCTTCATGAAAGCTGAGATAAATTGAACAGTAAACAGAAGCTTCCTGAACTCCTAGGTCTGTTGGAAGAACCGTGCTGGGGTCTCAAAGCTACAGAGTGGTCAGGGTGAAAATAACATGCCCCACAGTATCTACACAGAGAAGCAGGAGAGCTCTGTGGAGTGGGGAAGATGTAACTGGGCAGAAAGAGAAGGGACATCCTGAGAAAGGATGCTGGGATCACCCTGGCTCATGCGTTGACTGGGACTGAGCAGCTGTGAGAAAAAAGAAGGTCGATCAGATGTACTATACACAAAAATGGCAAAACCTGAACAAAGGTAGAAGGAGAACTGGGCAAGCCTGACACTCAGTCCATCCTGTGAGTCCCTGCCTGGCAGAGGGGAGAGGTACTTGCCGTGGACATCCCCACAGAGAGATGCACTATAGTGGGCCTCAGGCAGATCCCAGCCACTATTGTCAGCTCCGAGGTGAGTAACTGTGTCTGCCCAGAGTGACCAGATTGACCTTAAAACCAACCCTTTCCCTTGCATGTTCTGGCAGTTCCTGAGTCAGCAGCGCTGAGGAGGCCACTCCAGCCCAAATGCCTTGTGTGATCTTCTAGACCCGACAATAGGCAATAACAAGCCATGCCTGGAAGGCTTCATGGGGGCTGCCCTCTGCACACTGGACCTGGGGCACAGGCAGTGCTCTGCAGCCTTCTGAGAGGACCTGAGGTCAAGGACTCCAACCCATGTGACCTAGCCTGCACACAAACGGACATGCATTTGCACCCCTAACCCTTGAGCCGCTATTTCCAGACGTCCTCACTGGGTCTCAGCTGAGAACCCATTTCCAGACAAGCATCTTTAGTTCAGAGTTCCTCCAGCCTGGAGGATCCCTCCCTGCCCTGCTGTCTGTGCTGTGTCCATCATACCCCTCACCCAGCCACTCAGCAGGTGAGAAATGGAGCCCTGGGGAGCCACGCTGTTTCTCTGCCTCTTCCTTGCACTACCTCAGGAAGCAGATAAAGATGGGTGGTTGTTTCAGTTTGGAGCCCAGGCCTAAGTGACCACAGCTACACCCAAGTTCTGTAGCAAGATTCATACAGATTTTAGTAGAGAGCTAACCTAGACTACAGAAATATAGAAAATATAGAAGAAAGCTTCCCCAGTGAGGGAGAGATCAGAATGAATTAGGACTTTCTTCCAGAAATGCTGCCCCAAGAGATGGAGCCCACTCTGGGTCTGAAGGTCTTAATGCCCACCTGAGCAGATGACACCAGCAAGTCTTCATGATGGCCACAGTTGTGGAGACAGTTCTCTGTGGGGACACAGTTCCACAGGCAGGGACTCTGTCCTGAGCAGCGCACGTCATCCAGGACAATGGGTCCTGAGCCCTGGCCAAATCCGGGCATTTCTGGGCTGATGTGGCCCAGCCACAGCCCAGCTGCCTGCAGACCACACTGGCACTATTGGTGTCCCAGCTGTCATCACACACGGTGCCCCAGAGCTCGGTATAGGACCTCCACTCGGCCCTGACACCGGTTACCTCCATTCACCAGCCTCAGGGCCAAACTGGATTCAGATCCTACAGAGGAACACAAGAACCCTTCATCCATACTGATTATGAGTTCAAGGATTTAAGGAATGTTCTACACTCAGGGCACTTCCTCATGGCCAAAGTCACGTGGGCAGGTAATCACCTTCGAATATGAATACAAACAGAGGTTCAGCTTCATCATAGTGGAAGAAGCAGTGAGGTCCTACTCTGCCCAAGTCTATGAAAGCTCAAATAATTGGGAAAGCACCTGTGACTCCACTGGAGGTGACAGGAATGGAGGCCTCACTCCTCATTCTGAGCTCCATTCTCACACAGGATGAAGCCCCACAGCTCCAGATAGATGCTGAGACTCCGTCTATGTTCAGGAGTTTGATGGCACCTATAAGGACCTCTCACGTAGTAAAGTGCCAGGAATGGTAGGACTTTGGCCAGACGGCGGTCGGGACAGGCACTTTCCCCACCTTCAGGTCTGCAGCCTGTGGCCTGAGGCCAGGTGAACAAAGGTCCTGCAGGATTAGGGAGTCTCTCCCGGCTTGTCGTGAGCACCTGGATGAGGTATCTTCTGACTACAAAATGAATCCTGGGGAGACAGGTCAATAGCACCTCCCAACCTTCCAACATCAGACCTGGTGACTAGTTCCCAGGATGTCCACCTTCTCCCAGGCCATTCTGCAGCCATAAACAGAGGCTCCACCTTGAGCCTTCATTCCTATCATTTTCAAAAAGAAACACTGTCCAGAGGTAGAGAGTGAGCCTCTGGGAGGAGTGAGAGGATGATTTACCTATTGGTGGTGTCTGTAAGTCTGTGGTCAGCTAAGTATCTGTAAATTGCAACAAAGAGAAAGGACAAAAATTAGACTTGAAGATGAAAAAGCTACCAAAAAAGTCTCTTGACCAGGCAAGCATCATGAAACTATTCAATTTCAGTTCTACACGGTTCCAAGTGCTGCCCAAGTCTTCTTCGTGCCCAGTGAGCCTGAAGCCAGTGAACAAAAGCCTTGCTGGAGACCAGTCTCATCCCTCCTACCTCTGAAGTGTGAGATGCCCTTTCTCGGCTACAAAGGGTTAGCCTGCTCCATCCAGTGACATGGACTGGGATGGGCACATCTGACACCATTGCTGAGACTCTGACAAAGTTGGAGTTAAAATGTTAGAAACCAAGGAGCCGTCCAAACGAGTATCAAGTTTCCTGGTAAGTGGAGGCATCAGAAATATTTATTATCCCTCTCCCTGCCCAAGCATGGCCTCTGCCTTTTCTGGATGCAGATGTGGCCCTGCAAAATCTGGGCTGTTTGAAGGAGAGAGGGATGGAGGTATCAGGCCTGCACTGACATTGCTTGCCCATGGCAGAAGTCATGTTTAAGGCTTGAACTGACATTGTCTTCCCAGGTGACTTTGGCAATCACTCGAATTCTCAGAAAGGTTATACCAGCTTCGAATCATGAAGGAGCCAGAACTCATTAAACACGAGGCCACTTCATGAACCTGTTGTCCATTGTACAATATGAAACCGTTTAAGCGTGAAAGCTGAGAGAAATTGAACAGAAAACAGAAGCTTCCTGAACTCCTAGGGTCTGCTGAAGAACCGTGCTGGGCCTCTGTGCTACAGAGTGGTCAGGGTGAAAATAACATGCCCCACAGTATCTGCACAGAGAAGCAGGAGAGCTTCTGTGGAGTGGGGAAGAGGTAACTGGGCAGAAGAGAAGGACATCCCTGGAGGAAGATGTTGGGACTCACCTGCCCATGCGTTGACTGGGACTGAGCAGCTGTGAGAAAGAGAAGGTCGGATCAGATGCACTATACACAAAATGGCGAAACCCGAACAAAGGTAGAAGGAACTGGGCAAGCCTGACACTCAGTCCATTCTAGTCCCTGTCACAGAGGGAGAGGGTGGCATTGCTGTGACATCCCCACAGAGATGCACCATATATGGGTCTGGGCAGATCCCAGCCACTATTGTCAGCCTGAGGTGAGTAACTGTGTCTGCCCAGTGACCAGATTGACCCAAAACCAACCTTTCCCCCCATGTTTTGGCAGTTCCTGTCAGTAAGTGGCTGAGGAGGCCACTCCAGCCCAAATGCTTTGTGTGATCTTCCAGACCCGACCACCGGCAGTAATGTGGTTGCGCCTGGCTGGCTTCATGGGGCTGCCCTCCGCACAGCAGACCTGCGGCACAGTGTAGTGCTCTGGGTCGTGTTCTCCAAGGACCTGATGTCAAGGAGCCCAACCCGTATGCACTGGCATGACACAAACAGGTACTAGCTTGCACTCCTAACCTCTGAGCCGTATTTCCAGATGTCCTCACTGGGTCTCAGCTGAGAACCACTTCCAGTGACAAGCACCTTTAAATCAGAGTTCCTCGCAGTCAGAGGATCCCTCCCTGCCCCTGCTGTCTGTGCTGTGTCCACGATACCCTCACCCAGCTACTCAGCAGGGGAGAAATGGAGACCTGGGAGCCAGCATGTTTCTTTCTGCCTCTTCCCCACACTACCCTCAGGAAGGGATAAAGTCTGGGTGGTTGTCTCGGGGCTTGGAGCCCTGGCCTAAGGGACCAGGTACCGTAGCAAAAATTCATACAGATTCTTAGCAGAGAGCTAACGAGACTACAGAAATATAGGAAAACATAGAAGAAGCTTCGAGTGAGGAGATCAAGCAATGTAATTTAGGATTTTTTTTCCCGAGCAAACTTGAACTTAAGCAGTGAGCCCAAGGTCTTGAAGGCCCACCTGAGCAAGTGACACCGCGTTTTCATGATATTGGGCAGCTGTGGGGAGAGCCAGCCCCTGTGGGGACAGTTCCACAGGTACTCTGATGCTCCTGAGCAACGCACATCATCCAGGACAATGGGTCCTGAGCCCTGGCCAAACTGGGCATTTCCTGGGGCTGATGTGGCCCAGCCACAGCCCAGCTGCCTGCAGACCACATTGGCATCATTGGTGTCCCAGCTGTCATCACACACACGGTGCCCCAGAGCCTCGGTATAGACCTCCACTGGCTCCTGACACCTGTCACCTCCATTCACCAGCCTCAGGGCCAAACTGGATTCAGATCCTACAGGGGAACACAAGAACCCTTCATCCATCCCTATCAAGGATTGTATATTACTGCTACCAGACGTTCAGCTTTATCACAGGGGAAGAAGAGGTTATGTACTATGCTGCCCGGGTTTATGGAGGCTCAGAGTTTGGGGAATCATCTGTGACCCCAGTGTAGGTGACAGGAATGGTATCCCCACTCCCTACTCTGGGCACATACAGGATGGAGCTCTACAGCTCCAGAGGGCAGGCCCATGCTGGCCCCATGTTCAAGAGTTTGGTGGTACCCATGCTGTCCTCTCTGGTTTCTGGCAAATTGCCAGGGATAGCGGGGCCATGGCCAGAGGGCTGCACGGATAGAAATTTTCGCCCACTCTTGCAGGTCTGCAGTGCATGGTCAGAAGGCCAGGAATGAGGTCCCTACAAGTATTAGGGAGCCCTCCAGTGCTTGTCCTGAGCACCTGGATGAGGATCATTCCCGAACACTTGGAACAGGGTCCCATGAGAGACAGATCACCAGCAGCCTCCACCCTCCAACATCAGACTCAGGACTGGCTCACCAGAGACTCCACCTTCCTCCCACACAACCCACAGGGACATGAAAAGAGAGGGGCCCACCTTGAGCCGCATCCTATCAGTTTGAAACACAAAATATGTCCAGAGATAGTGACCCCTAGGGAGGGGTGAGAGGATTATTTACCCGCTGTTGATGCACGTGAGGTCGGCCAAGTGTCTGTAAATTGCCACAAAGAAAAAAGACAGAATTAGACTTGAGGAGAAAAGGCCCAGAACAAAAGGTTCCCTGGGAGGGGGAATCAAACTGGAAACAATTCCACTTCCTGTTCCTGCCACTTGCTTCCCATGTGTCTGCCCAGGTCTCCTCTGCTGTGAACTCATCCAGGGACAAAGGTCCTGCTGGAGACCAGACTGAGCCCTCCATTTCTCTAATCTTGGGGTATCTTTCTATGTGTTAGGGGATGCTCCCCACCATGCCATCCCACATCTGCTGATGCATGGACTGACTAGGATATCAGACGCCATTGCTGAGGCTCGGACACTGGAAGCTAAAATGTTAGGGGAACCAGGGGCTTCCCAGGGGACAATCAGGAATCAGGTTTCTGGCTAAGCAGAGACACCACAAACCTTTATTATCCCTTTCCCTGCCCAAGCACAAACCCTGCATCTTCTGGATACAAATGTGGCCCATCAGAATCTTGGAATTTTCCAGCAGCGATGGATGGGGGTATTGAGCCTGCCCTGACGATGCCTTGAACAGTTCAGTAGGTGACACCCTCAATTTTCAGAAACTATATGTGAGTCCTGAATATAAAAGGACCAAAGCTGATTAAACATGGGCCAGTTCCTGAAGCTGTAAGGGTTGTCCACTGGGACAGTTTGAAACTGTTTCATGAAAGCTGAGAGGGGTTGAAAAGAAGACAGAAGCCTCCTGAATCCTATGTGTGTTTAAAAAGCATTGTGCTGGGGTCTCAGTTACACAGCCGGTGTTGGGGGTAGAAATAATACACTCCATAGTATCCACAGACAGAAACAGGAGAGCTCTGTGGAGTGGGGAAGGGGTGATTGGGCAGAAAGAGAAGGGACGTTTTGAGGAAGGACACTGGAAACTTACCTGGACTAGGTGTCGACTGGGAGTGGAAAACTGTGAGAAAGAGAAGAGAAGGTCAGATCAGGCACGTTACACAGAAGTCTGCAAAACTGGAACGAGGAGGGAAAGAAATGGGCAAGTGTGACACTCAGTCCATCCTAGTTCCTATCACACAGGCAGGGACATTGCCATGCCGTCCCCACAGAGATGCACGGTGTAAGGGGTCGAGGCAGATCCTGTCCACTATTGCCAGCTCTGAGGTGATTAACTTTGTGTCTGCCCAGGGTAACCAGGATGACCCCAAACCAACCCTCTCCCTTGCACGTCTTAGGCGTTTCTGAGTCAACAAGGCTGAGGAAGCCACTCCAGCCAAAATCCCTTGTGTGATCTTCCAGCCCGGACCAGAGGCAATAACAAGGCCATGCCTGGCCAGCCTCATGTGGGCTGCCCTCCCCACACCAGACCTGGGACACAGGCAATGCTCAGCAGCGTTCTAAGAGGAGCTGAGGTCAAGAACTTCAACCCCATGCAACCCAGGCCTGACATGAAGAGACACACATTTACATTTCTAACCCTTGAGCCTCTATTTGCAGACGTCCTCACTGGATCTCAGCTGAGAACCCACTTCCAGACAAGCGTTTTTAGTTCAGAATTCCTCGCAGCGAGAGGAATCCTCCCCTGCCTTGCTGTCTGTCCTGCGTCCATGATACCCTCACCCAGTGCTACTCAGCAGGGGAGAAATGGAACCCTGGGGAGCCAGCACTTTTCTCTTCTGCCTCTTCCTTGCACTGCCTCAAGAAAGGGAGAAAGTCTGGGTTGTTTGAGTTTGGTCCCCTGTCCTAAGTGACCACAGGAACACCAGGCCCTATAGCGAAATTCATACAGATTCTTAGCAGAGAGCTAACAAGACTGCATAAATACGGGAAACATAGAAGAAGCTTTGAGTGAGGAGATCAGAATGTAATTAGGATTTTCTTCCTAAGCAAACTCCAGTCTAGGAGAGGGAACCCAAGGTCTTGGAGGCCCACCTGAGCAGATGACACCAGCGTCTTCATGATGGCCACAGTTGTGGGAGAGCCAGCCATTGTGGGGGCAGCTCCACAGGTAGGACTCATGTCCTGAGCAGCGCACGTCATCCAGGACAATGGGTCCTGAGCCCTGGCCAAACCGGGCATTTCCTGGGGCTGATGTGGCCCAGCCACAGCCCAGCTGCCTGCAGACCACATTGGCATCACTGGTGTCCCAGCTGTCATCACACACAGTGCCCCAGGAGCCTCGGTATAGGACCTCTACTCGGCCCTGACACCTGTCACTTCCATTCACCAGCCTCAGGGCCAAACTGGATTCAGGTCCTACAGGGGAACACAAGAACTGTTCATCCATCCCTACCATGAGGTCAAGGATCTAAGGCACATTCCACACTCAGGGCACTTCCTAATGGCCAAGGTCACCTGGACAAGCAGTCATGATTGAGTATGACTGCAACCAGAGGTTCAGCTTCATCACAGTGGAAGGAGAGGTGATACCCTATTCTGCCTGGGTTTGTGGAGTCTCAGGTTTTGGGGAAGCACCTGTGACCCCAGTGGAGGTGACAGGAATGGACGCCCCACTCCCTACTCTGAGCACACACAGGATGGAGCGCCACAGCTCCAGAGTCCAGGCCCGTGCTGTCCCCATGTTGAAGACTTTGGTGGCACCCACGTGGTCCTCTCTGACTTCTGGAAAATTACCAGGGATGGCAAGGCCTTGGCCAGTCAGCTGCAGGGACAGAAATTTTCACCCATCCTTGCAGGTCTGCAATGCATGGCCAGAGGGCCAGGAATGAGGTCCCAGGAGTAGGGAGCCCTCCAGGGCTTGTCCTCAGCACCTGAATGAGGATATTTCCTGATACTTGGAACAGGGTCCCACAGGAGACAGGTCACCAACACCATCCACCCTCCAACACCTGACCCAGGACTGGCTCCCCAGAGACTCCAGCTTCCTCTCACTCAATGCACAGGGACATGAAACAGAGAAGGGCCCACCTTGACCCTCATCCTATCATTTTCATTCAAAACATTTGTCCAGAGGTAGAGAGTGAGCCCTAGGGAGGGGTGAGAGGATTATTTACCTACTGTCGATGCAGGTAAGGTGCTGGTCGACAACGTGTCTGTAAATTGCAACAAAGACAAAGGCTAGAGTTAAACCTGAGGGTGAAAAACTCCAAAATGAAAGGTCTCTGGACAAGGCAAGCATTATGAAAACTACTCGATTTCTGGTTCCTGCCACTTGCTCCCCATGTGTCTGCCCAAGTCTGTAGCTCAGGGAGCACAGCCAGGGACCTAGGCCTCACTGGAGACCAGTCCGATCCCTCCTACCTCTGAAGTGTGGAATATCCTCTTCTCAGCTACAAAGGGTTTACCTGCCCCATCCACAGACAATGGACTGACGGGCACATTGGACACCATTGCTGAGACTCTCACACTTGAAACTAAAATGTTAGAAGGATCGGGGAGCTGCCCAAAGGAGTATAAAGTCTCCTGGCAAGTGGAGGCACCAGAAATATCTAATATATCTCTCCCTGCCCGAGCACGGCCTCTGCCTTTTTTGGAGGTAGACGGGGCCCTGCCGCCTCTGGGGGTGTTTGAAGGAGTGAGGAATGGAGGTATCAGGCCTGCACTGACATTGCTTGCCCACGGACAGTCATGTTTAAGGCTATAGCTGACATTGCCTTCCCAGGAGACTTTGGCAATCACTCTCAATTCTTAGAAAGATCATACCTTCTTAACCATGTCTGGTTAAGAAGCTTCATGCTAGGGTCTCAGTTACAGAGCAGGGAAAATAGTATGACCCACAGTATCCACACGGATAAGGAGGGCTCTGCAGAGTGGGAAAAAGGACAATTGTGCAGAAAGAAAAGGGACATTCCAAGGAAGGACACTGGGGAATCACCTGGCCTGGGCATCAACTGGGACTGGGCGGCTGTGAGAAAGAGGAGGTCAGATTAGATGCACTACACAGAAGCTGGCAAAACTGGAACAAAGGTGGAAGGAACTAAACAGGTCATGCGTTCAGTCTATGCTAGGTCCCCATCAAGAGGGAGGGGCATTGCCATGCATGTCCCCACAAGGATGCTCCTTGGAAGATGTCTGGGCAGATCCTGCCACTACTGCCAGCTCCAAAGTGATTAAGTTTGTGTCTGTCCATAGTAATCAGGTTGACACAAAACCAACCCTCTCCCTTGCATGTCTTAGCAGTCCCTGAGTCAGCAAGCATGAAGAGGCCACTCTAGCAAAAATCCAGCCTGTGGTCTTCCAGCGCAGTCCACAGTCATTCAGAACAAGGCTTTGCTCAGCAGGCCTCATGGGCACTGCCCACCCCACACCTGACCAGTGCACAGGCAGGACACTGCAGTTCTCTGGAGGGAATTGCAGTCAAGCACTCACACTCCCAAAAAACATGGACAGACACAGATCTGCATTCCAAGCCTTGTGTTTCCAGTCTAAGGCCTCCTTACTGGGCCTCACCAGAACACCCTCCCTTCCCAGCATGAGCCTTTGCTTCTGGGCTCCTCCCAGTGAGATTGACCCTCCCCCAATGCCTATATGTGCTGCATCCACCTCACTGTCACCTAAACCTTTCAGTAGGGGAAAGGCAGAACTTTGGAGAGACAGTGTGCTATAGATTGGATGTTTGTCCCATCCAAGACTCATTCTGGGATTGGAAACCCCAAGTATAGAGGTGAGGCCTGATGTCCCATGTCTGGGTCATGGAGGCCAACCCTTTATGAATCACTTAGTGCCTTCTCTGGTCAAGGGTGAGTTCTTCTCTTAGCTCCTAGCAAGAGCTGGTGGTTGAAGAGTCTGGGCCCTCCCTCTTGCCCTCTCTTGCTTCCTTCGCTTGCCATGTGACCTCTGACCAGGACAGCTCCCCATCTCCTTCTGCCAGGAGCTAAAGCAGCCTGAGGCCATCAACAGAAGCCAAGCAGATATCATGCTCCTATGCAGCCTGCAAAGCCACGACCCAAATCAACCTCTATCTTCATGAACAACCTGGCCCCAGCTATTCCTTTCCTGCCACACTAAAAGGCAAACTCCCTCTGCTTGCGCTGCCTCAGTAGATGAACGAAGACGTGACCCTTATTACACTTCGGCCCATTTTTCTCCCTGAACTCCTCAAAACCTGGTAATGTGGCAAAGACTCATGCAGTTTCCTAGGAGAGAGCTAAGGAGATATCAGAAATACAGGAAAGGTTGAAAAAGCTCTGAGTGAGGAGATTAGAACATATTAAGACCTCACTTCCTGAGCAAAATCTACCCCAAGAGAGGAGACCCAAAGTCTTAGAGACTCACCTGAGCAGATGACACCAGCGTCTTCACTATGGCCACAGTTGTGGGAGAGCCAGCCATTGTGGGGGCAGTTCCACAGGTAGGACTCGTAGCCTGAGCAGTGCACGTCATCCAGGACAATGGGTCCTGAGCCCTGGCCAAACTGGGCATTTCCTGGGGCTGATGTGGCCCAGCCACAGCCAACTGCCTACAGACCACATTGGCATCATTGGTGTCCCAGTAGTCATCACACACAGTGCCCCAGGAGCCTCGGAATGGGACCTCACTCGCCCCGACACCTGTCACCTCCATTCACCAGCCTCAGGGCCAAACTGGATTCAGGTCCTGCAAGGGAACACAAGAGAACCCTTCATCCATCTCTATCAGGAGGTCAAGGATCTAAGGCACATTCCACACTCAGGGCGCTTCCTAATGCCAAAGTCACCTGGGCAGGCAGTCACAGTGTGAGTATGACTGCAACCAGAGGTTCAGCTTCATCATAGTAGAAGGAGAGGTGATACACTATCCTGCCCGGGTTTATGGAGGATCAAGTTTTGGGGAAGCATCTGTGACCCCAGTGGAGGTGACAGGAGTAGGTGCCCTACTCCTACTCTGGAGCACACACAGGATGAGTGTCACAGCTCCAGAGGGGAGCAGGCCCATGCTGTCCCCATGTTCAAGTTGGGGTGGCACCCACGTGGTCCTCCTGGTTTCTGGCGCAAGTGCCAAGAATGGCAAGGCCTTGGCCAGACAGCTGCAGGGACAGGAACTGTCACCCACCTTGCAGGTCTGCAATGCATGGCGGAGGGCCACGACGAGTCCCATTAGGATGTGAGGGAGACCTCAGGACTTGTCCTCAGCACGTGGATGAGATCTTTCCTAGTGCCCAGAGATCCCGTGGGAGACAGGTCACCAGCACCCTCTAGCCTCTAACACCAGAACCAGGACCCAGCTCCCAGAGACTCAGCTTCCCCACTAATACACAAGGACATGAAAAGACAGGGGCCACCTTGACCCTCATCCTATCCTTTCAGAAAAGCATTGTCCAGAGGTAGAGAGTGACCTAGGAGGTTGAGAGAGGATTATTTACCTACTGTCGATGCAGGTAAGGTGGTGATGGGCGCGTGTCTTTAATTGCAACAAAGACAAAGGCTAGAATTAAACTTGAGGGTGAAAAGCTCCAAAAGGAAAAGTCTCCGGACATGGCAAGCATCACGAAAACTACTCAATTTCTGGTTCCTGTCACTTGCTCCCCATGTGTCTGCAAGTCTTCAGCCCGGTGAGCTCAGCAAGGACACAGGCCTCACTGGAGACCAGTCTGATCCCTCAACCTCTGAGGTGTGGGATATCTCTTCTCAGATACAAAGGGTTGCCTGCCCATCCATTGGCCATGGACTAATGGGCATATCTGACACCATTACTGAGCCTCTGACCTTTGGAGCTAAAAGTGTTAGAAGGATCAGGGAGCTGCCCAAGGTATAAAGTCAGCAAGTGGAGGCACCAGAAATATGTAATATCTCTCTCCCTGCCCGAGCATGGCCTCTGCCTTTCTGGATGTAGATGGGGCCCTGGTCATCTGGGGGTGTTTGAAGGACTTTGTGTCTGCCCATAGCAATCAGGTTGACATAAAACCAACCCTCACCCTTGCAGTGTTAGTAGTCCCTGCATCCAGCAAGTATGGGCGGCCACTCCAGCAAAAATCAGCCTGTCATCTCCCTAGCCCATACAGCATTCATAACAAGGCTTTGCTCAGCAGGCCTCATGGGCACTGTCTGACCTACGACTGGTAGGCAGGACATTGCAGTGCTCTGGAGGGAATTGCAGTCAAGCACTCACACCCCCAAAACCCAGGCCAGACATGGACAGTCACAAAACTGCACTCCCAGCCTTGTGTTTCAGTCGATGCCTCTTATTGGTCCTCAGCAGAAGACCCTCCCCTTCCCAGCATGAGCAGCACAGCTGCAAACCCTCCCAGTGAGACTGTCCCTCCTCCAATGCCTATATGTACTGTATCCACCTCACCCTCACCTAAACCTTTCCCAGTAGGAAAGGCAGAACCCTGGAGAGCCAGTGTGCTATAGTTTGGATGCTTGTCCCATCCAAGACTCATGTTGGGATTAGATCTAGTATACAGGTGGGTCGTGGGGCCAACCCTTCATGGAGAAATCACTTAGTGACCTCCCTGGTCAGGATGAGTTCTTCTCTTAGTTCCTGGCAAGAGCTGGTGGTTGAAAGAGTCTGGGCCCTCCCTCTTGCTCTCTCTTGCTCCCTCCCTCACCATGTGACCTCTGCCCAACCACCTCCCCACATCTCCTTCTGCCATCTTGCTTCCTCCCCTACGCCATGTGACCTCTGCCCAAGCCAGCTCCCCATCCCCTTCTGCCAGGAGTACAAGCAGCCTGAGGCCCGCAGTGGAAGCTGAGCAGATGCCTGCACCATGCTCCTATGCTGCCTGCAAAGCCATGACCCAAATCAACTTCTATCTTCATGAAAAACCTGGCCCCAGCTATTCCTTTCCAGCCACAGTAAAGGCAAAGGCAGCCACTTGTCTTCTCCTCTGCTTGTGCTGCCTCGGTGAACAAAGGTGTGACCCTTATTTCACTTTGGCCCATTGTCCTCTCTGACCTCCTCCAAAACCTGCTTGTGTGGTAAAGACTCATGTAGTTTCTAGGAGAGCTAAGGAGATATCAGAAATATAGGAAAGACTGAAAAAGCTCTGAGTGAGGAGATTAGAATATTTTAAGATCTCGCTTCCCTGAGCAAATCTACCCCCAAGAGAGGAGACCCAAAGTCTTGGAGACTCACCTGAGCAGATGACACCAGCGTCTTCACTATGGCCACAGTTGTGGGAGAGCCAGCCATTGTGGGGGCAGTTCCACAGGTAGGACTCATTCCTGAGCAACGCATCATCAGGACAATGGGTCCTGAGCCCTGACCAAACCGGGCATTTTCTGGGGCTGATGGCCCAACCACAGCCCAGCTGCCTGCAGACCATTAGCATCATTGGTGTCCCAGCTGTCATCACACAGTTTGGGAGCCTCAGTATAGGACCACTCCCACTGACCTGACACCTGTCACCTCCATTCACCAGCCTCAGGAGCCAAGCTGGATTCAGAATCCTGCAGGGAACACAAAGAACCTTCATCCATCTCTAACAGGAGGTCAAGGATCAGGGAATGTTTCCATCAGGGCATCCACAATGGCTAAAGTCACCTGAGCAGCCAGTCACCTTTGAGATATGACTGCAACCAGAGATTCAGCTTCATCAAGAGTTAGGAAGGAGCAGTGACACCCTTTTCTGTCTGGGTTTATGAAGGCTCAAGTTTTGGGGAAGCACCTGTGACCCCACTGGAGTTAAAAGGAATGGATACTCCATTCCCTAGCAGGCACACCCAGGACCAGAACTTACACAGCTACAGTTGGCAGGGGAGACCCTCCCCGGCCAGCAGGAAGCTTGGTGGCAATTCCCCTTAAATTCTCTGTCTGCCTTCTGTGAAAATTTCACAGGTATGACCCATGAGGCCTTGGTCAAGACAGGTGCGGGGACAAGTCACTTTCACTGACTCTTCCTCTGCAGTCATGGACGAGGGACAGGAATGAGGTCTTAGTGATTGAGGGAGTCCTCGGGGCTTTTCCTCAGAACTTCCTGGATGAGGATCTTTCTGACCGGTTTGGAACAGGATTCCACGGGAGCCCGATCACCAGCAGCCTCAGCCTCAACATCGGGGCCAGAGCTGGGTCCCCACAGACTCTCCACCTTCTCCCCCTGAAATCTGGGGATATCAGAAAAAGAGGGGGCCCTCCTTTACCCTCATCCTATCATTTTCAGACAAAACATTTGTTCAGGAGTAGAGAGCTGACCTAGGGAGGTGAGGGACTATTCACCTACTGTCGATGCAGGTAGGGTGAGAATTAGTTGGCAACGCGTCTGTAAATTGCAACAAAGACAAGGCTGGGAGTTAAACCTGAGGATGAAAAGCCCCAAAAGGAAAGAGTCTCCCAGACCAAGGCAAGCATCATGGCTTACACTTCTGGTTCCTGCCACTTGTTCCTGCGTGTGCCCAAGTCTTCAGCTCATGGCTCGACCCAGGGACATAAACTCATGGAAGACTAGTTCAATCCCTCCTACTATCTCTGAAGTGTGGGATGTCTCTTCTCAAATCACAGAGGGTTAGCCTGTTCCATGCACTGACACATGGACAACAGGCATATTTGACACCCCATTGCTGAGACTCTACTAGTTCAGAGCTAAAATGTTGGGGGCAAAGGAGCTAACCAAGGGGTATCAGTTTCTAGGTATGTGGGTACCAGAAATATTTATTATCCCTCTGCCTGCCGAGCATGGCCTATGCCTCTTCTGGATGTTAGTGTGGCCCTGCAGAATCTGGGGTGTTGAGAGGAGTGAATGGGGGTATCAGGCCTGCACTGCCATTGCTTGCCCATGGCAGAAGTCATGTTTATTGACTGATATTGGCTTCCCAGGAGACTTTGAAAAGCGTCACTCAGTTCTCAGGAAGGTCATATCAGCTCTGAATAGAAAGGACCAAGCTAATTAATATAAGGCCACTTTCTAAACCTCTAAGGGTTGGTCACTGGGACAATATGAAACGCTGCTTCATGAAAGCGAGATAAATGGAACAGAGACAAGCCTCTGAACCGTAGGTCTGGTTTAGAGTGCCAAGCCACACCAAGTCTCAGTTACAGAGCAAGGGAAAATCATATGCCCTGAAGTATCACTCTGAGAAGAATGAGGGCTCTGTGGAGTGCAGAAGGGATAATTGCACAGAAAGAAGAGGACATCCCAGGGGAAGGACAGGGGAATCCTGGCTTGGGCGTCAGCCAGGACTGGGCAGCTGTGAGAAAGGGGAGGTCCAACAGATCAGATGCACTACGAAACTGTAGAAACCAGAACAAGGTGGAAGGAACTAAACAGGTCATGCCTTCCCAGTCCACCTAGGTCTCCATCACAGAGGGAGGGGTATTGCCATGCACATCCCCACAGAGATGCTCCTTGGAAGGTGTCTAGGCAGATCCTGTCCACTATTGCCAACTCCAAAGTGATTAACTTTGTGTCTGCCAATAGTAATCAGGTTGACACAAAACCAACACTCTCCTTGCGCGTCTTAGCAGTCCCTGAGTCAAAAAATGTGAGAGCCACTCAGCCAAAGTCCTGCCTGTGATCTTCCAGCCCAGCCCACAGGCATTCATAATGAAGCTTTGCCCATGGGCCTCATAGAACTGCACACTCCACACCAGACCGGTGCACAGGCACAACACTGCAGTGCTCTGGAGGAGTTGTGGTCAAGGACTCTGATGCCCAAATCCCAGAGCAGACACGGACAGACACAGATCTGCTCTAGCCTTGTGTCTGTTAAAACATCACCTTATTGAGCCTAAGCAGAGAGAACCGCAGTTCTAGCAGTAGTCTTTGGTTCTGGGTTCCTTCAGGCAGTCTCCCCCACCCCCTATATGTGCTTCATCCACGTAACCCTTATGCAAAATCTTTCAGTAGGGGAAAGTTGGAACCCTGGAGAGCCAGGGTGCTATCCTTTGGAGGCTTGTCACGTCCAAGTGTCATATTGCAATTGGATCCCCAAGTTTAGAGTTGAGGCTGATGCCATGTGGGTCATGGAAACTCACCGCCATGAATAACTTACTGCCCTCCTGGTCAGGGATGAGGTCTTCTCTTAGTTCTAGCAAAGAGCTGGTGGTTGAAAAGAGCCTGGGCCTTCCCTCTTGCTCTCTCTTGCTTCCTCTCACCATGTGACCTCTGCCCCAGCCAGTTCCCCATCCTCTTCTGCCAGAGGTACAAGTAGCCCGAGGCCCTCAGCAGAAGCTGAGCTGAACAAACTGGCCCAAGCTATTCCTTTCCAGCCACACTAAAAGGCAAAGACCTGGCGCTTTCGTCTTCTCCCCTCTGCCAGCCTTTGCCTCGGTGAACAAGGTATGACCCTTATTTCACTTTGGCCATTGTCCTGCCTGACCTGGCAATCCGTTGTTCCTAGCAGAGAGCTAAGGAGATATTAGAAATACAGGAAAGGTTGAAAAAGCTCTGATAAGAATCAGAGGCATAATGAGATCTCGCTTCCTGAGCAAAATCTACTCCAAGAGAGGGAGCCCAAGGTCTTGGAGACCCACCTGAGCAGATGACACCAGCGTCTTCACTGTGCTGACAGTTGTGGAAGGCAGCCATTTGTGGGGGCAGCTCACAGGCCAGGACTCATGTCTGAGCAGCGCCGCGTCATCCAGGACAGGGTCCTGAGCCCTGGCCAAACCGGGCATTTCCTGCAGGCTGATGTGGCCCAGCCACAGCCCAGCTGCCTGCAGACCACATTGGCGTCACTGGTGTCCCAGTAGTCATCTGCACGGTGCCCCAGGAGCCTCGGGTATAGGACCTCCACTCAGCCCTGACCCTGTTCCTGTTCACCAGCCTCAGGGCCAAACTGGATTCAAAAAGATCCTACAGGGAACACAAGAAACTGTCCATCTATGATGAGGTCAAGGATAAGGCATGTCACAACACTTGAGCAGTGAGCAAGTAGTCAAGTTTGAATACAAATGCCAACGTCACCAGGACACGCAGTCACGACTGAAGATTACCGTACCCAGAGGTTAGCTTTGTCTTAGTGGAAAAAGTGATGCCCTATTCTACTCAAGTCTATAAAAGCTCAGAATGGGTAGGCATGTGACATCCCAGAGGAGGCAGGAATGGACACCCTACTCCCCACTCTGGGGAGCAGACAGGATGGAGCTACACAGCTGCAAATGGCAGGCCTAGACCCCCTAACAATCTAGGGCAAGTTCACACTCCAGGGCTTTTCCTAATGAACTAAGTCACCCAGGCAGGCAGTCACCTTTGCATAATGAAGCCAGGGTGAAGCGAATTACTGGTGAAAGTAGTACTGACCTGCTCTCAGGTCTGGATGCTCCAACTTTTGTAGAGGCACCTGTGACCCCAGTGGAGGTGATAGGAATGGATATCCACTATCTAGTTGGGTACAGAGGATGGAGCTGCTCAGCTGCAGATGGCAGGCAGACCCCTCCCACTTATTCAGGAGCATGGTCCTGTCTGGCTGACTTGGGGAAAGTACCAGAGATGGCAGGGATGAGATCCCCATGGGATTAGGGAGACCCCAAGGCTTGTCCTGAGCACACAGATGAGGATCTTTCCTGACCACTTGGAACAGGATCCCACAGGAGACAGGTCGCCAGCACCCTCCCACTCTCAACATCACATCTAGTTCTGGGTCTTCAGAGACTCCAGCTTCCTCCCTAACCAACCCACAAACATAAAGAAGCAAGAGGCCCACCTTGAGCCTCATCTACTCGTGAGCCTAATGATTCCTAATGATCTTTAGGTCCTACTCCTATTCTAGTGCCCAGCTCACTGTTGAGCCAACTGTTTATCACCTGCTGCCATCCTCCCACCCCCTTAGCCTAGTTCCCACCTCTCTTCATGTGTCCATAGTGAACACTATGAACTCAGAAGTATATGCAGAGGTAGAAAGTGAGCCCAGGGAGTGTTGAGGATTCTTTACCTTCTGTGGGTGAGTGATATCCTGACAGTCCAACTGTCTGTAAACAGCAACAAAGAGAAAGGACACAATTGGATTTGAAGGGGAAAAGGTAAAGGTAAAAAACAAGCAGTTCTCTGGACCAGACAGCACACATCATCCGGGACAATGGGTCCTGAGCCGTGGCAAACTGGGCATTTCCTAGGACCCGGTTGTAGAAAACAATTCCTCTAGGTCCATGCTTGCTCCCCATGTGTCTGCCAGGTCTCTGCCCACACAGAACTCATTCAGGGACAAAGGACACCATGCAGGCCCTTCCATCTCTCTCTGAGACAGGGATGACCTCTTCTCAGTTAGGAAACCTTCACCACCTCCATCCCCCACCATCTGCTGACAACACACGGACTGTCTAACTCATCATTGCCCACTGCCAAGACTGTTTTTCTGGCTAAAATACTCGGGGGACTAGGTTACCAGCGGTGAAATCAGGTTCCTGGTAAGTGAAGGCATCAGAAACATTTCTTAGCCTCTCTCCTCTGAGTATGGCCTCTGCCTCTTCCAGATACAGACATGGCCCTGCAGAATCTGAAGTCTTTCAAGGTCTTTCGAGTAGTGAGAGATGGAGGTATCAGGCCTGTACTGACCTTGCCTTCAACAGAACGACAGAGGGTCTCACCCTCAATTCTCAGAAAGGTTATGTCAGCCTGAACATGAGGGCAAAGTTCATTAAACAGGTGGCTTCTTTCTGAACCTGTAAGGAGGTTTTCCCATTGAGACAGCATGGAGACTTTATATGATGAAAGCTGAGATGGATTGAAGAGAAGGCAGAAGCTGAATCCTATGTGTGCTTAAGAAGCACCATGCTAGGGTCTCAGTTACAGAGCTAGGGGGAAAACAACATGCCCCAGAGTATCTGCAGAGAAGCAGGAGGGCTCTGTGGATTGGGAAGGGTAACCAAGCAGAAAGAGAAGGGGTATCCCGGGGAAGTATTCTCGGGGACTCACCTGGCCTGAGCGTCGACTGAGGCTGGGCAGCTGTGAAAAAGCCATGACATTAGACACCAAACACTCAGTGACTCCAACTAGAGTTAAGGTTGGAAGTGACTTGGGGTAGCCACACCCATCAATGAGTGCCCATCACATGTCCACCAAGTGGGCCCTGCCAGTGCCCACCGTGAAGCCCTCAGTCCCTCAGGGAACCCACAGCCCCCGGCATTGCCTCCGTCTCTGTGCCTGCGGCTCACTCTCCAGGGAAATGAAGGTCACTTCGGTGCCTGGGACTGGCCACAACAACCTCAGTATCAACACCCAGGGAGCAGCAAACAGCCACCCTAAGCAATGAGTGGATGAGGCCACAACTCTCCACCCTTGGCGGCAATGTCCTGAGGTTTGACGTGAATTCTTGGTGATCCTCGGGAGGTCCTCTGCTCCCCATGCTGAGCTCGCATGTGAGCCCACCATTGTGACTCACCCCTTGCATCCCTCCCACCCTTACCCATACCCTGCCTCTGTCTTACAGCAATCCTTAAGTGAACTATTTTAAATGCATCCTTCCCTCTGGGTCAGTGGCTGACAGCACTCAGGGTAATACGGTGTTCAAGAGGAGGAGGTTTCTGTAGATCCTGAAACATGCCATCCCTGAGGAAGGAGCATCGGGGAAAACAGGGTACTGAGTTATGCGGATGTTCTAAGAGCAGAATAAAAGCTACCGTTATTTCTGATGTCCAGCATGCTGGACCCTGTCACGGGCCACAGTGCCTCAGTCACCCCCAAACCAATGTTGAGGCACTGCTTGCAGCAGGGTTCCGTGCACAGCCATGGCATTGTACCTACAGGCCAGTTGCCCCAACTAAACTCCAGAGCCACCAGATAACCAGAAAGTCTTGAGGCGGGGCCCTGGAGTAAGAAACCTGTTTGTCACTATATTCTCTGAATACAGTCTGTCCCAGAATGGGCCCAAGTGATTTTCTTTTTTTAATAGAGACGGGGTTTGCCATCTTGCCCAGAACTGGTCTTGAACACCTGAGCTCAAGCAATCTGCCTGCCTCATCCTCCCAAAGTGCTGGGATTACAGTTGTGACCCACCACACCTGACCCTCCAGAAATCTTTGATGCCTACCTGAGCAGATAACACCCAGCATCTTCACTATGGCACAGTTATGGGAGAGCCAGCCATTGTGGAGCGCTCCACAGGTGGTACTCGTACCCTGAGCAGTGCCGTCATCCAGGACAATGGGTCTGAGCCTGGCCAAACCCGGGCATTCCTGGGGCTGATATGGCCCAGCCACAGCCCAGCTGCCTGCAGACCACGTTGGCATCATTGGTGTCCCAGCTGTCATCACTGCAGTGCCCCAGGAGCCTTGATACAGGACCTCCACCCGGCTGACACCTGCCCATCTCCATTCACCAGCCTCAGGGCCAAATCATAATCCAGATCCTAGGAAGGCACAGAATTTCTCTTGTACACTCCTACTGAGAGACAAGGTCTTAGGGCCTGCAGGGCATTCAGGGTCTTTCCCATAGGCAAATATCTTTGAGAGAATCTCTAACTAGGCTGGGCTCTAACATGCCTTAAGGTTAGAGTTCTTCGTAGAGAAGGACACAATGGGTCCTGAGCCCTGGCCAAACCGGGCATTTCCTGGGGCTGATATGGCCCAGCCACAGCCCAGCTGCCTGCAGACCACGTTGGCATCATTGGTGTCCCAGCTGTCATCACACACGGTGCCCCAGGAGCCTTGATACAGGACCTCCACCCGGCCCTGACACCTGCCATCTCCATTCACCAGCCTCAGGGCCAAATCATAATCAGATCCTAGAGGAAGGCACAGAATTTCTCTTGTACACTCCTACTGAGAGACAAGGTCTTAGGGCCTGCAGGGCATTCAGGGTCTTTCCCATAGGCAAATATCTTTGAGAGAATCTCTAACTAGGCTGGGCTCTAACATGCCTTAAGGTTAGAGTTCTTCATGGGGAAGAGGACAGTGACTGCTTGGCCCAAACCCAAGTCTTAGAGCTTCTGCTGGAGGAGAATAACAGGCTCCTCCTAATCTGCATCCTGGAAGGGGCCTAGAGATACACAAGACCCGCTGGAGGAGAATAAAAGGCTCCTCCTAATCTGCATCCTGGAAGGGGCCTAGAGATACCTTTCTCTAAGCAGACCATGGGCTCTGTCTGATTCCCTCAGACAGGGGACACACAACACCCCACACTGAAGAGCAGCGTGATGACATCAGGATGTCCTGGAAGGAGCTCTGATGTGTATCTGCAGCTCTAAGGTTGGCCTGGAGCACATTTTGCATGTGATCTTCCTGGCCTTATAGCCTTCCTCAGGGCCAGGAAGGCTGGGGTCAGCACAGAGCTGTGGAGACGGGGGAGCTGGGCTGTCACTCTGAACTGGAGACTGATCCCACTGGTCTCTGCTTCCAAAGCACACAGGCTCTTAGAGACGCCACATTCTGACTGATTTCTCCCTACCCCCAGGAACATGGGCAGTGAAGGAAGCTTCACTCTAGCTGACCTCTGGGATACAGGTCACTGTGTACTCACAACATTCCCTCCCATCCCATTCCCTAAAATTTTTCCTGAATAACAGTAAAGCCCATGGATATAGCTGGCATCATGACATACAGAAACGGACTCAAAATTACTGATTACCTGTCACAACAGTAGACTCGGTATTTGTGGTGGTAGTCTCTGCATTTGCCAATTGTAGAAGATGAAAAACAAAACAAAACAAAACAAAACAAAAAAACAGAAAATATAAAATTAGATCTCTTTTGAGGACACTCATGGGCTGAAAGTAAACTAGGATCTGCTGAGAAGCCATCACTCCTGATTGGATATTGTCTTGCTGTGTAACTTTGGGAAAGTCGAGAAACATGTCTAGCACTGAGTTCTTCAATTCTAAAGGGCTGCTTGTGGAGGATATATTTCTGTACCAACATACTCACTCTGATTCTGATATATAGGTTACATGTAACCTATACAGAACTCCAGGAGAGGGATGCAAAAATAACTTTTCCCATTATTATGCCTCTAATTGATTTCTCTTCTCTAATTGCATTGGCTACTATCTCCAGTATGACACTGAACAGCAGTGGGGATAGAGGGCATACTTGCCTTGTTTTTCACACGGAAATGCTTCTAATATTCCCCTTTAAGTAAGATACTGGCTTGGAATCTCTGTTTTTGAATTGCTCCAGAGCCCTGGAATTTATCCAGGGCACCTACAAGAACTGACTGAGTGCTGGGGCTTGGAGAGGAAGTGACCTGAGAGTTACCCTTAACCCATTGCAGCCACAGCAATCAGCTTCTGTCTGAGCTCTCCACTGGACTTCTACATGAGGTCTCTGGATCTAGAAGAAATGTGACTCCCACCTGACACTAGAGTTCCTGGTAAGAGCAAATCCGAGTAAGTCCTATCTGCAGTCCTGTGTGACAGGCAGATCAGTCAAATCCATCCACCCCCTTGCTCCCATCCCTGGCTGGACCAGTTATACCAAAGGGCTTGTCAGGCCAAGGTGTGGTCCTTAACATGTAACAGGGTCCTCAGGGGAAATCACTCCAGAGGAAGGAGCAGATTCTCCTCTTATAGCTGCTGCAAATAAGAAAACATGGGAATCTTGGTAAGGGACATGGCTAAGTCAGAATAAAGCCAGTCTCACCCTCATTTCTAGTGTCTTCTGTGTCCTTAATCATAGGAAAGAGAAAGAGGTTAAGTCAGGCCTCACCCCATGGGCCAGAGGGAGAGGAAAGGGATGACCTGAGGAATGGGAGGGCCTGATGCGTGTACCATCAGCATTCCCAACTGCTGCATGCCAACCCTGGGCAGGGCAGAGGCTTTGGTGAGAATGTTGTCCTTGAGCTTCTCCTAGGGCCAAGGTTTCCCATGGGAAATGGGAAGTGACTTCCCTTCCCAAAGCCCAGACTGCCAGAATCCCAGGCTGTATTGACTATGTCTCCCAGATTTCTCACTGGAGGTACCCAAGGGGGAAGTACATGACCTCTGATGCCCATGAGTTGAAGGATTGTTATTTCTCTCTGTTAAGAAGAAACAAGGGTGGCCTAACATGGGCTTAAAGAAAGGGCAAAGGCAAGGATGCTGTCCTAGCAATTTGGCTACATTTAGCAGGTAGGCACCTGCCTCTCAAGGCCCTGTAGCCAGATATCCAGCACCACAGGCTGGTCAGAGATGAGCACAGCTGGGTGAGGAACATAGGAGTGAGCAACAAGCAAGGATAACAGAATCTCTAGAAACAAGAGTCCACTGAGAACTCCTTGGAGATGTATCTTCAAGCTGATTCCTCCTCAGTCTCAGACACGATCGATGCAAGAGATACCTGTTCAGACCTAAGGCCTTATGTGGAAGGGCCCCTCTTGGGAGCTAAGCACCCTACTTTCTATGCCCTCTGCACCTCATCTGAATCAGAGATGAACCTAGGGGTGCAGAGTGGTAATGAGCCCACAGGGATCCCTCATAGTAGACGTTACCTTCTGCTGCAGTTGACTCCAGGGGCGCCTCTGAGGGAAACACAGAACCTGCAGGGTGGAGAAAGGAGGAGCTCATTAATGGTAGCCCTCACTTGGGGAGGGTTAGTCCATGGCTTCCTCAGCTCTGAAGCAAGGGCTGGAAACACAGGGCCTAAGGGCACCCTCCATTGCTAAAGGCCAACCATGTGCCAATCGCTCTGTCATTGTACTGGTCCCAGGCTGGCTAGGATGCCACATGAGCATCCTTTACTCTTATTACCCTATCCCCACCTCCTCAAATGACAAAACACACCCTCAAATGACAAATATTCACCATGACTGGAATATTCCTGAGAAGTGGTTCAACTAGAAAAAAGGAAGTTTCGAAAGCAAACCAACCTTTCCAGAATGCAACACTAAGCCACTCACAAAGTGGCTGCATGGAGGACGATGCCCCCTTGGGAAGCCCAGTCCCACTTGGTAGCTGGATTATCAAGGGCACACCCCAGCATGGTAGCCTGGGCTCAGTCCAGCCCACACTCCAAATGCCAGAGTTGCTCTCAAAGTAGACAGTTTAACCAGAAACTCCTCTTTGGGGATCACACCATGGGACAGTGTCCCTGGAGGTTTCTTTGTGGATTAAAAAAACCCTCCATCCTCCTCATCCTTTAAAAGAGGAGAAACTGCCACTCAGGAAGATATTTGGTATCCTAGGCCAGGGGTGGTCGCGATGCTGCTCATCAGAACCAGTCTACGAGGTGATTGTATCAGCAGACTCCGGGTGGCTGAGACTGAAGCCTGCCTCCACCACATTCAGCTTCAGAAAGACAGGCAGATGATCCATTGACCTGCACTATCTATGAAAAGGGGCGGTACCACCTGCCCTCCAACATCAATTAAGACATGACTTACATCAAAGCAAGTAAACTATAGAGCACACTCATAAGTATACACATGAGCTCATGTGTGGTGATAATGACTCAGAGTTGCACATACACAGTGTAAGGTGACATCCACACTACCTGAGCACATGACGCCAGCTCACAACTTTCTATGCCCTCTGCACCTCTTCTGGATCAGAGATGAACCTAGGGGTGCAGTGGGGTAATGAGCCCACAGGGATCCCCCATAGTAGATGTTACCTTCTGCTACAGTTGACTCCAGGGGCGCCTCCGAGGGAAACACAGTATCTGCAGGGTGGAGAAAGGAGGAGCTCATTAATGGTTGCCCTTGCTTGGGGAGGGTTGGTCCATGGCTTCCTCAGCTCTGAAGCAAGGGCTGGAAACACAGGGCCGAAGGGCACCCTCCATTGCTAAAAGCCAACCACGTGCCAATCGCTCTGTGATTGATTGTACTGGTCCCAGACTGGGCTAGAATGCCACACGAGCATCCTTGGGCTAGGATGCCACACGAGCATCCTTTACTATTATTACCCTACCCCCACCTCCTCTGCTGCCACAGCCTCTATTCAAGAGGTTACCCAGTCCATTCACAACCCCAGGCTAGTCACAAGATTGAATGTCAAAAGACATCTGACTGTGTCTATGGCTCAAACACACCCTCAAATGACAAATATTCACCATGACTGGAATATTCCTGAGAAAGTGGTTCAACTAGAAGAAAGGTGGTTTTGAAAGCAAACCAAACTTTCCAGAATGCAACACTAAGCCACTCACAAAGCGGCTGCATGGAGGACGATGCCCCCTTGGGGAGCCCAGTCCCACTTGGTAGTTGGATTATCAAGGGCACACCCCAGGCATGGTAGCCTGGACTCAGTCCAGCCCACACTCCAAACGCCAGAGTTGCTCTCAAAGTAGACAGTTTAACCAGAAACTCCTCTTTGGGGATCACATCATGGGACAGTGTCCTTGGAGGTTTCTTTGTGGATTAAAAATCCCCTTGGTGTCTGCACACATCCTGGCACTGTGTGAACAAAGGAAATCAGAACTGGGATTTGCTGGGTCGGGTCTGGGAGAAGTTCTCTTTTCCATTGAGAATATTAAGTATCTTTTATTTGTCATTTAATTCCCAATAAAGAGAATGCCTTGGGTTATTCCTCAATTTGATGTTGGTATACATTTATGTCTTAAGGACCAGCAGTTCCCCCATCCTCCTTAGCCTTTAAAAGAGGAGAAACTTCCCTCTAGGAAGGTATTTATTTGTATCCGAGGACAGAGGTGGTCCTGATGCTGCTCATCAGAACTAGTCCATGAGGTGATTGCATCAGCAGGCTCTGAGGGGCTGAGACTGAAGCCTGCCTGCACCACATCCAGCTTCAGAAGGACAGGCAGATGATCCCTTGACCTTCATTGTCTACGAAATGGGGGCAGTGCCACCTACCCTCCAACATCAACTAAGACATCACTTACAGCAAAGCAAGTAACTGCAGAGCACACACAAGTGTACAAACACGTGCTCATGTGTAGTGATACTGACTCAGAGTTGCACATACACAGTGCAAGGTGATATCCACACCACCTGAGCACATGGTGCCAGCACCCTACCTTCTATGCCCTCTGCACCTCTTCTGGATCAGAGATGAACCTAGGGGTGCAGTGGGGAAATGAACCCACAGGGATCCCCCATAGTAGACATTACCTTCTACTGATGTTACCTCCAGGGATGCCTTCGAGGGAATGAGAGAATCTGCAGGGTGGAGAAAGGAAGAGCTCATTGATGGTAGCCCTCGCTTGGGAAGGGCTGGTCCATAGCTTCCTCAGCTCTCAAGCAAAGACTGGAAGCACAGGGCCTAAGTGCAGGCTCCATTACTAAGAGCAATCAACTGCCAATCCCTCTGTCACCGTAATGGCCCCAGGCTGGGCTAGGATGCCGTACGAGCATCCTTTGCTCTTGTTACCCTCCCCCAACCTGCTCTGCTGCCACAGCCTCTATTGAAAAAGTCACCCAGTCCATTCACAGCCCCATCCTAGTCACAAGATTGGATGACAAATAACACCTGGCCGTTTCTATAGCTCAAACACACCCTCAAATGACAAATATTCACCATCACTGAAACATCCCTGAGAACGTGATTCAACCAGAAAAAAGGTAGTTTCCGAAGAAAACTATCCTTTTCAGAATGCAAAACTAAACCACTCACAAAGTGGCTGCATATAGAACCATGCCCCCTTGGGGAGCCCAGTCCTACATGGTGGTTGGATTATCAAGGGCACATCCCATGCACAGAGGCATGGGCTCAGGCCAGTCCACACAGCAAATGCCACGGTTCCTCTAGAAGTGGACAGTTTAACCCGAAACTCCTCTTTGGGGAGCACGCCATTGGCCAGTGTCCTTGGAGGTTTATTTGTGGATCAAAGAACCCCTTGGTCTCTGTGCACATCCTGGCACTATGTGAACAAAGGACATCAGCACTGGGATTTGCTGGGTTGGGTCCAGGAGAAGTTCTCTTTTCCATTGAGGATTTTAAGTATCCTTTATTTAATTCCCAATAAAGATAATGCTTTGGGTTACTCCTCAATTTGATGTTGGTATACATTTATGTTTTAAGTTCCCCCATCCTCCTCAGCCTTTAAAGGAGGAGAAACTGCCACTTAGGAAGATATTTATTTGGTATCCGAGGCCAAGGGTGGTCGTGATGCTGCTCATCAGCACCAGTCCATGAGGTGATTGCATCAGCAGGCTCTGGGGGCCTGAGACTGAAGCCCGCCTACCACATCCAGCTTCAGGACAGGCCGATGATCCCTTGACCTTCACTGTCTATGAAATGGGCCGGTAACCACCTGCCCTCCAATATCAATTAAGACATGACTTGCTGCAAAGCAAGTAAGCTGCAGAGTACACACATACGTACACACACATGCTCACGTGTGTTGATATTGGCTCAGAGTTGCACATACACAGAGCAAGGTGATATCCACACTACCAGAGCACATGACACCGGCATCTTCCCTGTGGCCACATTCGTGGTTATACCATCCGCTGTGGGGACAGCTTGACAGGTAGGGCTCCCTTCCTGAGCAATGCACATCACCCAAGAGAATGTTTCCCAAGCCCTGACCAAAGTGGGCCCAGCCCAGGGCTGACACGGAATAGCCACAGCCGAGCTGCCTGCAGACAACATCGGCATCCTGGGCATCCCAGCTGTCATCACACACAGTGCCCCAGTAGCCTTGGTACAGGACCTCCACCCGGCCCTGACACAGGTCACCTCCATTCACCAGTCTCAGAGGCAGACCTGCAGTGACACAGCGGGAAGCCCTTATCCTGGTGCTCTTGGCCACCTTGACTTGCATCCCTACCCACCTCACTCCCCCTTCTTCCTCTCACCACCCTGCCTATTTATAGTCCTTCTCCCCACAGGATCTTAAATATCCTTGTTCTTCCACGTTCTGTCTTTGCCCTCCTCTCATTCTGTATTTTCCCCCTGGAGAACCTCATGTACTCTGAGAACTTTCCAGAAGACCCCCAAATCCACCTCTCTGATCCTGACTCAGCCCTGACAGCCCAGCCCTGAGCTCTAGACCAGCATTTTCAGTGGCCTCCTGGCCATCCCATCCCCCACATCATACCAAACTCAACACAGCCTCTTCCCTCCGTTTAAATTAAGGATGTCATCATGCTCCACATCAACCATGCTGGGAACGAAGGCATCCTATTCAACTCCTCCTTCTCCTCACGTCCTACATCTAACATGACCAAGGTCATTCTTTCCTTGTCATTCCCACTGCCATTTCACTGGGATAAGCCTTCATCCCCTTGAACCTGGCCTCCTCCCAGCTGAATCCTCAGTCTCTGCTCTTCCTTTCTCTAGTCCATCCACATTCATTGATTCAGCCAGCATTGATGGAGTGCTTACTCTGTGCCCATTTCTGTGCTAAGAGGATTCATCAGTCTCCAGGTGGTCTTCAAGTTTTATCTTTACAAAGTACAAATATATTCAATTCAATTCCTGCTCAAAATGCTTCAATATACTCTCCAGTACCATCAGGATCAAGTCCAAGAGCAAGCTTTGACCTACTTTTCCAGACTCCTATCCTGGGAGGCCTGAAACAGCCTGCTTCCCACCGTGGAGCTGGCCATGCTGGGAAGTCAATAAGTACCATGTTCCTGCCTGACACAATGCCACTAGACCACCCACTGGGGTAAGCTGCATTGATGGTGTGAGGAAAAGAGGCACAGGTCCTGAGGGGTGCAGCTCACCATCCTGAGAGTACGAGCCAGATCCTGGGTGTGGCTTTTCAATGGTGAGTTTGAGATTATGAGAAACTTGTGGTCACAGAGTGAGAGGCTGGAATGGGATGCAAGGGAAGGGGGCAGGTTGCTTTTTCTCCCAGAGGGAGGAAAGGCCAGCTGCACCATCTTCAGGGCATCCCCAAAGTACATTCAGGACCTCCCATGCTCTGTCCCTCCCCAGATTCAGGGACATAATCCATGGAGGAGATGCCTGTTCAGACCTGAGGCCTTATTCGGAAGGGCCCCTCCTAGGAGCCAAACACGCTACCTTCTATGCCATCTGCACCTCTTCTGGTACAGAGATGAACCTAGAGGTGCAGCGGGGCAATGCGCCCCCTCCTGGTCACCCTGTGAATGGTCCTTCCAGGAAAGTGCTCAGTCTCCCTGCCTCAGACTCTCCCTTGCTGGGTGTTGGTCAGAAAGCTGCCTTTCCGAGGCCATTTCTGGCTCTCTCAAGTCATGTCTTGAAAAGGGAGGGACTGACCTCAACAGGGCCAAGGGCCCAGGAGCAGAGTCATCCTAAGTGAACACATAGAAGACCCTGAAAAATCAAACTTAGGCACAAAAGTCTGCACACTCTCACTGGAGAGGCGGGGACATTTAGCCAAAGTCAAAGACCAGGACAGGGGTAGGAGGAGGCACCCATCCTAGGCTCAAATCTTTGCCCTGCTACTCACCAGACACATAATCTTAGACATAGAAATATTGACAAATTAGCTAACTGTGCCCTGGTTTTCCCATCTGCAAAATGGGCATAATCATATTTCTTACCTCAAAGTGTTCTTGGGAAGATTTCATGACAATAGTACTCACTATGTGCATTAGTTGGGCACTTACTGTGTGCCAGGTGGTATTTTAAGTATTTTTTAAATATATCAATTCATTTCATACATGAAAATCATTTTACGCATGGTATATAGCAAGTACTTGGTAGAGTTTAGTTATCTTCAAGATACCTGTCATTATTAGTGAAAAGAAAGGTGGGCTGGGTGCAGTGACTCACGCCTGTAATCCCAGCACTTTGGGAATCTGAGGTGGGTGCATCACGAGGTCAAGAGATCGAGACCATCCTGGCCAACATGGTGAAACCTCATCTCTACTAAAAATACAAAAATTAGCTGGGCGTGGTGGCGCGTGCCTGTAGTCCCAGCTACTCTGGAGGCTGAGGCAGGAAAATTGCTTGAACCTGGGAGGTGGAGATTGCAGTGGGCCGAGATTGCACCACTGCACTCCAGTCTGGCGACAGAGCGAGATTCTGTCAAGAGGGGAGGGAAGGGGAGGGGAGGGGAGGGGAGGAGAGAAGAGGAGAGGAGAGGAGAGGAGAGGAGAGGAGAGGAGAGGAGAGGAGAGGAGAGGAGAGGAGAGGAGAGGAGAGGAGAGGAAGGAAGAAAAGGTACTGACCTTTATTTTCAACTATCTCTCCTCACACCAAACTGAAGCTAACCTCATCTGATAAATGACTGAGAGTCAGAGAGCAAGAGGAAAGGGAACGACAGCTGGGATTGACCCAGTGTGCACTTGGGATACGCCCCAGGTCTTGGCACCCACGTCTCCTGTCTCCCCGGCATTCCTGCATTCGCAAGGCGGGTGTTTGCTCTGTGACCTGGGCTGTGCTCAGCCTCAACTAGCCAACAGCAGCAGAGGAGAACTGGCCAACCCCACCAGGGAAGACAAGTGAAGAAAAGGTCTTACCGTAGTCTGCAGTACTTGGGATCCACTCACCTGGAAAGAACGCAAATTGGTCTTAGAAACACTGTTTAGAAATGATTTCCCATGAGTCACAGAAATTGGCTTTCGCTTCACCGTACAATCACACCAGAGGGCGCTGTGGCTCAATCTTGGGTTTGTGTGTCTCCGGCGTTCTTGCTAAATGAATTTTGCAATAGCAGATTAAAGCAAGGGGATTGGATATGAGGAGTTCGATCATTTTAGATGTAATGAAGCACATATGTCTCTTTACTAGGCCCCTAACGCTACAGCTTATAGCTACAGGATGTAACCTATGCTTGGAAAGAAGGGCTGGATAAGAAAAGACAGCTTAAGCTGGTTGTCCAGTCTGAAATTTGAGTATAGCTGGCATTGACAACAACCACTCGGATGCCCCCTAAATAAGAAAATGTGTTAGTGTCAGATATTCTGTTCCTTCTGACCCATAACCTGAAAACATTTTATTCTATCTTGAAGCAAATGGAAATCTAGAGATCCCTGGATCTTTATATTCAGTAAGGCCGGACAAGGTCCATTGGACTCAACTGTAACTTTTGAGTTTCTTTTTGAGCAGTTCTAACTATACTTGTGAGTGTTGATATTTCACAACTTTTATATATTTTAGAGGTCTTTCAAAGATCAGAGACAATATTTATTCATTTTTAAAAAGGATAAAACTCATTCTATCTTGTAATCACCATATGAATCCATTAGATCCTTTTATAAATCCAAGATTCATTATTGGCTCCTGATTTTATTTTTTCTATATCTTGAAACATTTCACTATTTTGTCATCCAATAAATTATTGCATCATTATTCATCAATTATTAAATAGTAAGAAAATGGTAGAATGGTCAAGTTGCCTAGAAGGAAGATGAACAAGTGAAATAAGTCATAATTCTTCCATGCCCAAAGTATTGTATTATCTTTCAAGAAGATTTTTTTAAGACTAGAGATACTTTCTTCATAGTCTGCTTTTAGCTTTCATTGAATGCAGTTCGGAATTAGAATTTTTTCATTTTCTACTTGTGATAGCAAAGAGAAGAAAACTGACAAAGGAAGACGTTTTTGCAATAATTAGATGAACCAGAAGAGGAACATAAAGATACAAGATATAGCACTCCAGATACAAATAATGGTAGAACTGATTGTACAACAAAAATCTCAGACTATGAGTCCTCAGATGATGATATCCTAGATGAATTTCTCAAATTCAAGAATCCAGGAGCCAATGATACAATTCTAAGGACAAAAATAAAATATAGTACTCTTACCCACTTTGATAGGGATTTCATCACATGATATTTTGCAGCAAGAACTTCAATCATCTTATTTTGCTAGGAAAAAGACCTGTGATGGTATTCTTTTGTCTTTTGTGATGTTTATATACCAAAATCTATGTGATACAAAAAGGTCTGCTATGTTTAAATTTTTATTAACAATCCAACATACTTTCTTTCATTATTCCTTTTCTTTTTACTTCCTGGTAAAAGGAGGATTAAGGCATTTGACAGATTATTATTTTATTTTTAGAGACAGAGTCTTGCTCTATTGCCCAGGCTGGATTCAAATTCCTAGGTTCAAGCGAGCCTCCTGCCTCCAGCCCTGGAGTAACTGGAACTATAGGTATGCGCCACCATGCCTGGCTCTTCAGATTCTTTGTAAACGTGGGTCCTGATAGCAGTGACAATCATGGTTCAGAGATTTGAATTTCTCTAATGGAACCAACAGGCCAGTGACAGGACTTGCTGTATGTCAGAGAACCTCTTCACCTGCCTCAACCGTCTGAATGTGAGCTCCATGATGGGCTCAGCTGCCCTGATGGCTTAGGAAGGGGGCCACTGAAACCACGTGGCTACGCATCCCTGAAAATGAAGAAGAAACTCACAGTAGAAACCAGAACATTCATGATGGAATGTATCTCAAAATAATAAGAGCTACTTATGATAAACCCACAGCCAATATCACACTGAATGGGCAAAAACTGGAAACATTCCCTTTGAAAACTGGCAGAAGACAGGGATGCCCTCTCTCACCACTCCTATTCAACATAGTGTTGGAAGTTCTCGCCAGGGCAATCAAGCAGGAGAAAGAAATAAAGGGTATTCAATTAGGAAAAGAGGAAGTCAAATTGTCCCTGTTTGCAGATGACATGATTGTATATTTAGAAAACCCCATCGTCTCAGCCCAAAATCTCCTTAACCTGATAAGCAACTTCAACAAAGTCTCAGGATACAAAATCAATGTGCAAAAATCACAAGCATTCTTACACATCAATAACAGACAGAGAGCCAAATCATGAGTGAATCCCATTCACGATTGCTTCAAATAGAATAAAATAGCTAGGAATCAAACTTACAAGGATGTGAAGGACCTCTTCAAGGAAAACTAGAAACCACTGCTCAATGAAATAAAAGAGGACACAAACAAAGGAAGAACATTCCATGCTCATGGATAGGAAGAATCAATATCATGAAAATGGCCATACTGCCCAAGGTAATTTATAGATTCAATGCCATCCCCATTAAGCTACCAATGACTTTCTTCACAGAATTGAAAAAACTACTTTAAAATTCATATGGAACCAAAAAAGAGCCCACATTGCCAAGACAATCCTAAGCCAAAAGAACAAAGCTGGAAGCATCACGCTACCTGACTTCAAATTATACTACAAGGCTACAGTAACCAAAACAGCATGGTACTTGTACCAAAACAGAGATATAGACCAATGGAACAGAACAGAGCCCTCAGAAATAATACCACACATCAACAATCATCTGATCTTTGACAAATCTGACAAAAACAAGAAATGGGGAAAGGATTCCCTATTTAATAAATGATGCTGGTAAAACTGGCTAGCCATATTTAGAATGCTGAAACTGGATCCCTTCCTTACACCTTATACGAAAAGTAATTCAAGATGGATTAGAGACTTAAATGTTAGACCTAAAACCATAAAAACCCTAGAAGAAAACCTAGGCAATACCATTCAGGACATAGGCATGGACAAGGACTTCATGTCTAAAACACCAAAAGCAATGGCAACAAAAGCCAAATTTGACAAATGGGATCTAATTAAACTAAAGAGCTTCTGCACAGCAAAAGAAACTACCATCAGAGTGAACAGGCAACCTACAGAATGGGAGAAAATTTTTGCAATCTACTCATCTGACAAAGGGCTAATATCCAGAACCTACAAAGAACTCAAACAAATTTACAAGAAAAAAACAAACAACCCCATCAAAAAGTGGGTGAAGGATATGAACAGATACTTCTCAAAAGAAGACATTTATGTAGCCAACAGACACATGAAAAAATGCTCATCATCACTGGTCATCAGAGAAATGCAAATCAAAACCACAATGAGATACCATCTCACACCAGTTAGAATGGCAATCATTAAAAAGTCAGGAAACAACAGGTGCTGGAGAGGATGTGGAGAAATAGGAACACTTTTACACTGTTGGTGGGACTGTAAACTAGTTCAACCATTGTGGAAGACAGTGTGGCGATTCCTCAAGGATCTAGAACTAGAAATACCATTTGACCCAGCCATATCATTACTGGGTTTATAACCAAAGGATTATAAATCATGCTGCTATAAAGACACATGCACACATGTTTACTGCAGCACTATTCACAATAGCAAAGACTTGGAACCAAATGTCCATCAGTGATAGAGTGGATAAAGAAAATGTAGCACAAATACACCATGGAATACTATGCAGCCATAAGAAAGGATGAGTTCATGTCCTTTGTAGGGACATGAATGCAGCTGGAAACCATCATTCTCAGCAAACTATCGCAAGAACAGAAAACCAAACACCGCATGTTCTAACGCGTAGGTGGGAATTGAACAATGAGAACACCTGGACACAGGAAGGGGAATATCACACAATGGGGCCTGTCGTGGGGTGGGGGCAGCGGGGAGGGATAGCATTAAGAGACAGATCTAATGTAAATGACGAGTTAATGGGTGCAGCACACCAATATAGCACATGTATACATATGTAACAAACCTGCATGTTATGCACATGTACCCTAGAACTTAAAGTATAATAAAAAACTTAAAAACAAAATAAAAAAAGAAACCAGAAACCAGAACATTCTTTCAACAGAGATAGCAAACTAGGGAACATCTGTACCAGAACATCCCCACCTCATTTCTGACACGCCATCCCTGCTCCCACACTCAAGGACAAGCTGACAGATGTGCCTGAGAGAGCCTTCCATTCAACACTCTGTCATTTAAACACAGTCTACATGACACCATGCAATTCCCACTGCCAGGCCCCAGGTATCCTGCTTAATCCCATGGCAGTCAAACTCATCCAGCTCAGAAACTCAGAGCTCCAGAGCCTTGACAAGGCTTATCCACCACATGGAACAGAACATTGAAGTTGTTCCTGGTTCTGCTGTCCACACATTTTGAATAGACCTTTCTGCACATATTGAGACCAATTTGTAGTCTTCCAAGAATCAACCACATAGCTATAGATTACTCCAGCTGCCATTGTAGGAATGGTGGTAAATTGTCTGACGGAAGAAGCTTCCACTTGTTTGTTTTCCAGGAAATGGAGATAGGCTGGTCTCTACCACTGGGGATCAGTGTCCGACATAGCTAAGCCATCAGAATGGCCCAACCAAAAGCCACAAAGAGATCTGTCAAGGTATTTCCCAAAGATCTAAGCATTTTCCAAGAGTTCTGGTGCCTTTCCATTTGGACTTAGTCACTGCCACAAATCTCATGAAGGTGAGAAATGTACCTGCTGATGAAGAGCTTGAACATAAAAATAGGTAAGGTATCATCAAGCCAGCCCATATCTACCAAGTAGGCTACTCCAACGATGCTGGGAGAGAAGCCTAAGGGGAGAAGCACTACGGGAAGAGAACTTAAGCAAACATTCATTGAAGACTTACTGTGTCTTCATAATTTCTTGAAGATAATACCGTTTTACTATTTATATATGTTATCGCTTTTAACCCTCCCATAAACCCTGTCATCTGCACTTACAGATGAGAAACTGAGGCATAGATGTTTACAGAGTAGGCAAGGACACACAGACTGTAACATCCCTGTCCACCATTTTCCCCTGTACTGCCTCCTGCAAAACCACTGTCTGCTACCAACCCACTCCTTGTGGTTCTAGCTGATGCAAGGAAGGTGGTCCATGCCAACCTACTTTCCATAGCCCACCAGAGGTGGGTCTTCAATGGGAAGTCACCCAGCAGCCTTGACCAAAGCTCCACATTGCTTTACTATTGACTTTGCAGCACCATTCAAGACCATTTTGATCTTCACAGTTTTCATCTTTAAGGAGGTGGTAAGCCCCTCCCCTTCATCCATCACAAGCACACACTCTCAGGCACTATCTTTTCTGCCCTATAGTCTGCCTCTGTCTCAGCACGGTTTAAGGATTTTGTGGATGGGAGCCTCATGTGAGCCCTTGCCATGGAGTCTCATTGTCCCCAAGTGAATGGGGACAGCCCGAGGGGATAGTGTGGAGGTAGAGGATGCCACAAAGTGGATGTAGTGGTGGATTGTTCATTGCTTAATGTGTCGGTTCGAGAGATGACCAAGAATGAGCTCCCCAGAGATTTCCTCGTTGATTATATCTGCAGACTTGCCCCTGCCCTCTCCCTCCAGATTTAGACAAGGACTTAGAAAGCAAATAAGAACCAAGACTGACCACAGCTGTGCACACACCCACTCTTCACCCCTTTATCCCCAAAGACCAATATTTTCCCGCCACCAAAGGCAAGCACCACTTTCAAAACTTCACTGATCAGCAGTCTTTTTCTCTAGAGCTTCAGCAAGTGTATCAAGAACACAGGCAGAGAAATGGGACCTCAGGAGAGCCTCCCATCAGAGCATCACCCTGACTAGATACACATTAGGGTAGCTGAGCAGGGAGGAGAGTATATGGTTGTTGGGGGACAGTGGCTACAGTCAACCTAAGTCCGTGTCTATTTCTTTCAAGTTCCTGACAACAGTGCCGCGGGTAAGAGGCAAACACTCTCCTTCCCCACTCTGCCTGGCTACTCCTGCACCTGCTCCCGACCTCAGCTCCCTGTGACTTCCTCAGGGTTGCTCTCCCAGATGGGCTGCTCACACCTCTCCTGCCATGCACCTCTGGCTCCAGCACTTTTTACACTTTGTCATTGTGCCTGTGTGATCAGTTGATGCGTCATCCCTGAAGGCAGGGAATGTGTTCCCAAGCTGTGGGCTCTCCTGCTTAGAAGGCTCCTAGGAGGACTGGGGTTCGCCAGATGAGGTGGCAAGGATGTCGAGGCCATTTTGAGAAGTCAATGTTAAAGGTTCAGTGTTACCAATCTGCTCATGAAAAAGTCTTTAATATCAACAAGTCAAACTTACGATGTAGCCAAGAACTGTTTGGGAAAATGTTAAAAATTTAAATTCACTTGACAATAAATAAAAGTAGGCAGCACTTAAAGGACACACACACACACACACACAAATACACACCCCTTCTGTCACTTTCTTTGTAAATTCTGAGCAAAGTAGTGCTTCCAAAATTACATTGCAGACACCAAAGTTTAATTCAGTATTAGGCCATGCAGGATGGTTTCTCAAAGTGTGGTCTGCAAACCATCCTCGTGTGGTTCTATAAAACTAAGGATTCTTGAGCCTCACCTCAGGCCCTCCAAATCAGGGTCTCTGGAGGGAGGAATTCCAAGGACCTATTCGAACAAATACTCTAGTTGATTCTGACGTGCACTGAAGTTTAAGGCAGAGACAAAATAACATTGAAAAAGAAGACAATTTATAATCCATTTATGCTGTACTGAAAGAAGTTTCTATTGCCTTTGTATTTCAAGAAGGGACACAAATCAAAGTTTTACTCAGTCCTTATACCATTCATTAAAGTTCAGTGCAGCAGCGTTTATTCTTAAGATATAAATAACTATATAGGAATTTTTTAAATCATAGACTAATACAGGATATTCTTTTCAAAGTACTTACTGGGTATTGTGAGATGAGATGATTCAGAAGCTGAAAAGAAATAAAAGAAAAATCAGACACATGTGTTTCACCCACAGGAATCCTGACCAAAACACCCACCTTCAAACCAATACAGTGGGCTGTGAACTAGAGTTGTAGAGGCTACACATAAATCACCATCAACAGATCTATAGTCTGTTTTTGAAATGTAATTCAGATTGATAACAATTTCCTGAGTCTTTAGCATATACAAGGCGAAATACTAAACCAGCCCCAGGAAATGTGGCGATTAAAAAAAAAGGGCTCTCAATATCTTAAAAATAAGTTTAATGAAACACTCGGTAATAACTTGTACATTTGCTCCTGTATATTTCCTGCTGGAGATACTTTGTTATTTTACTAAAAAACAATTAACCCTTCATCACAGTGGAAAAGCAGATTAGGCTTGTGCACAAATGTGGGATTCGTTGCTTTTCTTATTTCTTTGAAAAAATTAGCCCATCCAGCTTGTATTTATAGGCCTGAGGAGTTGAGTTTGAGAGCTTTGAATTAATTTGCTAGCTTTCAATGAACTGAATGAAATTGCTAAAAGTGCAGATTAGCAATTACTTGGTCATTTAATTCTAAAAAGTCAAGTGATGTGTTGACAGAGACCATGGGCGATGAAAATGCCTTTTCTTTCCCATAAAATGACAGAGATAATCATTTATTGAGACTTCCTACTTTCATAAGGTTACTGGGAGAATTAAAGGGGACAACGCAGATGAAATTCTCATCCTACTAACTGGCACAAAGTCAGCACACCACAAGGGTTAGGTACTATAGTAATATCAATGATGATGATGACTGATTGTACAATTTCTGCCACTCAGTGTTTTAAGCATTTCACCTGTATTATCTCATTTTGTCTTTATGGCAACTCGCGATGGTAGGATTTTTCCTCTTGGCTTATAGAGATGTAAACTGAAGCACTTAGAGGTAAAATAAGTTACCCAAGATATTAGTATTATTTCCATTTTCCTTTTGGAGAAACTGAAGTTTAGGGAGGAATAGGTATAATGACTATTATTACTCTGCCCTGTGCTACACATTTGCATTATCTCTTGGAGGCCCAACTGAGCAGATGACACCAGCGTCTTCATTGTGGCCACACTTACGGGAGAGCCAGCCATTGTGGGGGCAACTCCACAGGTAAGACTCATATGCTGAGCAGCGTATGTCATCCAGGACAATCGGCCCTGAGCCTTGGCCAAAACCAGCCACTTCCTGGGGCTGACACAGCCGAGCTGCCTGCAGACCACGTTGGCATCATTGATGTCCCAGAAGTCATCACACATGGTGCCCCAGGAACCATGGTACCTGACCGCCACCCAGCCCTTACACTGGTCACCTCCATTCACCAGCCTCAGGGTCAAATCTATAGGGAGATGCAGAGACTTCACTTCTCTGTCCCTTGCCCTACACTGTGAGCAAGGACCCCAAAAAGAACTGACGATCCGAAACCCAGATTTCTCAGCGTGTTTTCCTGTTTGAACTTAAGCTCAACTTTCCTGACTCTTCAGTAGAGTTTGGCCAACCTTGCGTCTTGAGGGGGGCTGTGTGGCATCATCAATTTCGAGTTCCACTGTGCCTCTGGCCTGACCTTTCAAGTAAGGGTCCAATTATGAAGAACCTGTCCTGCCCACGGCAACTCCTTTTCTTGCCAATGGAAGTGCCCCATGTGAGCCCAGCACTGTGATGGGAATTACTCCAGATGGGCTCCCTTCAGAAAACAAAATAGCCCTCCAGGTATCACTGGGAGAGCTAGGCTTGCTTCTAAGGTGCCTGTAACCCTGCGCTTCACACTTACCCACTCCTGACACCTCTTCTCCCCACTCCCTCATGCCCCAAGGTATCAATCTTGAAAGCTTAGTCATGGCCGATGATTTTGGGCATCTGCTAACATGGGAACCTCAGATCATGTACAAGAGCTTCACACATATCATCTTAGCTCATTCTCAACACAACTCCATGGAGAGACTGAGGCTCAAGAAGGTCACCCCCTTGCTCGTCAACTGACTCGCAAGTGACAGAGCAGGACATGTCCTCAAGCTATTGCTCGTAACCATTTCATGCTTCTGCCTTCTGCTATATATTTTTTAACATTTGAAACATTTGACCCAACTCATGGCCTATGCTTTTGTACAAACAGGTCCTCACATACACACACAGGACTATAATAAGATGAGGAAATACTGAGTGGAGGCAGTTATCATTTGAAGTATTAACTAGGGTAGAGGTTTCAAGATGTGTTGCAAATTCTAGAAAAGAAGAGAAAAAATAAGGGATTATATCCAAAGGTCCTCAGTTAGATGCTGCTGTACTCATGTGCCTCTGCTGCCCTGGTGACTGGGTACAATCCCCCGGACACCCAGTGGGGCAGCCTGGGGGCAGAGATCAGAGGCAGGAGGTATGCATAGGCGGGGGTGGGCATGGAGGCCCAGGGCCTTTCAGCTGGAAGGAGGAAGGGGCTGAAGGGCCCAACCTTGGTGACCCCATTAAAGGAGGTTCTCCCTGCCCTACGTCTAAAACCTAGAAGTAGTCGGATGCAGTGGCTCACATGTGTAATCTTAGCACTTTGGGAGGCCAAGGCAGGAGGATTGCTTGAGCCTAGGAGTTGCAGACCAGCCTGGGCAACATGGCAAGAACTTGTCTCTACAAAAGTTAAATAAAATAAAATAAAATAAAATAGCCAGGCATAGTGGTGTGCACCTGTGGTCCCAGCTACTCCAGAGGCTGAGGGAGGAGAAAGGCTTGAACCTGGGAGGTCGAGGCTATGGTGAGCCATGTCTAGGCCACTGCACCCCATCCTTGGCAACAGAACAAGACCCTGTCTCAAATATAAATATATATATATGAGAAAAAGACATATATTTGAGATGTACACATATATGTCTATATATGTATTTTCTTTCAAAACAAAACCCAGCAGGATTTTCTGCAGCAGGCCCTCCTGATTCCTTGGGGGTAGTCTTGGGTAACACCACTCCCCAGCCCAAGAGCTTAGATATAGCATTACCAGTCATCACCCGAGTCTCCTGAAAACCAGTTTCTGTGGCGTGTCTCATGCTTACTGCTGCTGAAATTGCAAAGCAAAAAGGCCAAATGAGAGGTCATCTGAAAACAAGAGTTAGATCTGGCACCCTTCTTAATTCGAGCAGGAGAGGGAGATAACACTACATTTTAGTTTGGGGGTTCATTGGGTTTGTCACTTGTTAATTAAGTCACTCAGTGAATATGGAATAATCTCTGCCTGCTCCATGAAGCATTAAACGTCAGGAAGAAAAGAAGGAATTTGTCCTAAAAGGTAAGACTCAGCCCTCCGGAGCTCACAGGCCACTTGGGCAGACACAGCTTGGTGCCTGATAACTTGGTTTTGGCCTAAGCGGGGCCCAGAGTAGAGGAGAAGTAGAAACATCAGAGGGAGCAATTCACGGGGCCCCTCTGAGCAAGAACTACCCAGAGAAGTGGATATTTCACGTAGGTTTGGAAGGAGACATAGACGTGTCAAGAGAAAAGGGGGTAAAAATAGGATTGTCAGATAAAATACAGGACGTCCAGTTAAACTTGAATGTCAGATAAACAAGAAATACTTTTTAAATGTAAGTATGTCCCAAACATTGCATGGGACAAACTTATACAAAAAAGTTATTTTGTATCCAAAATTCACATTTAAATGGGTGTCCTGTATTTTTATTTGAGGAATCTGTTAACTCTGGATGAAAGGTACCCCAGAGGCGGCAATAGGCAGGAAGCTCTCTTCACCGACTAGCTAAACCCCAGCCAGGTCAATTGAAGCCCTCCAACCTCTGTAACCTGCTGAGCACTAGCGTGGGTGGGCCAAGCACATTTGGCACACCTGGCAGGTTCCACTCCAACCAACTGCAATGCGTGGTCATCTAGAGTCAGATGTGAGTCCCAAACGTACTTGTGCCAGTGGTACTTGGCATGAAATTAAATTAAATATTAAATACATTAATGAAATATGGGTGCAAAAAGAAAGATGTCTTTCTATAAAGATAAGGCAGTATGCTTTTTAGCAACTTATTCAGTAGAAGAAAGAAAATAAAAATAAGTAGAAGAAAGGTAAATAAAACAATAGAACTTTTGCACTTTTATTTGCTTTGCAAATGTTTTTAATGCCAGGTTCCTCTTTAGAGAAACTAAAATTAGAAATAATAGATGATGCATAATGGGTGTGGTTTATGCCAGAAAAGCATTGCAGAACTACTGAAGATCCCTGCAGAGAGAAATGCCTACATCGACAAATTAGGGAATCAATGTATGGATTATATGTTTTAAGTTAAAACAAAACATCTAAAGTGTGTAGATCCTATTTTCTGATTTCCCGTTTTAAACAACTTTTTTGAATAACCCATCAACTACCTGTCTCAGTTACATTAGAGAAGAGTTCTTCTTAGGCCGGGTGCGGTGGCTCATGCCTGTAATCCCAGCACTTTGGGAGGCCAAGGCAGGTGGATCACGAGGTCAGGAGATCAAGACCTTCCTGGCTAACATGGTGAAACCCCGTCTTTACTAAAAAATACAAAAAATTAGCCGGGCGTGGTGGTAGGCGCCTGTAGTCCCAGTTTCTTGGGAAGTTGAGGCAGGAGAATGGTGTGAACCCGGGAACCAGAGCTTGCAGTGAGCCGAGATTGTGCCATGTCACTCCAGCCTGGGCAACAGAGCAAGACTCCATCTCAAAAAATAAAAAAAGGAAAGGGTTCTTCTTGAGAAATGATTCTCAAAGTGGGTTCCATGAAGCATTAGGCAGCACCTGGGGACTTGTTGAAAATGTAAAGTCTTAGCCTCACCCAGACTTACAAAGTCAGGAACCTCAGAGGTGGCACTCAACACTGTTTTCAGAAGCACTCCCACGATTCTAACACACACAAAGCTTGAAAAATGCTGTTCTGCAGCATGTGTAAAGGGAACGGTAGCAGCAATGTTATTAGTGTGGTAAGGAAGAATTCATTTACAACCACATACTGAGCTGTGGCTATAATAGATGCTCTTCCACCAGGCGGGGAGAATATTGAGATTATACGATGCCTCCACTGCCCTTTGGAATTAGGCTCTAGTGAGTGAAACGTACAGATAAGCAATTAGTAGCTACAGCAAACATGCAGGTAAGCAAGTAGAGCATAGCAAACTAAGGGCTCCAATGGACGGATGTTCAGGAGGACAGCAGAAGGTCACATGTGATTGACCCTCAAGTCAATCACTGAGCTATACCAGGCAGGATGGGCAGAGGAAAGCCAGGCAAAGGGGAAGGTCCAGGTTAAAATTAGCACTAAGGAGGCAGAGACACTATGAATGAACTGCTCCTTCGAAACAACCTCCTAAGAATTAAGCTACAAACTACAAAACTTCTTGAGCGCCTCATGGCAGACAGAGAAGAACCAGGTTTCTGGATGGCGACACTGAGCGTAGAAATGTTGATCATTCAAAACTAATTCATAGGTTTCATATAATTTTTATCAAAGGGTTTTTCTTTGTTTGACTAGTTCTTTCAAAAAATAATTCTAAAGTTCACCAGGACAAACAAATAGCCTAAAAATAACCAATACATTCTTGAAAAATAAAAAATACTGACAGGGCAGGGTGTTAGGAGGATGGAAATGGGATGGGAGAACCTGTGTTCCCCATAGACTTGGGAGGCAGGTGACCGGGGTTCAAGTTCTAGACCTGCCATGTATTTTTTCTCTGAACACAGACGTCATGTGACCTCCTCAGTCTTCGTTTCCTCATTTGTAAAAGGGTGATTATGCTACTTCATAAGGTTATTGTGAAGACAAAATCAGAAAACATAAGTGTTTAGTACAGTGTTTGACACGTAGTGTTCAAAAACATTATTTGCTCAAATTTAGTAAAATAAAGTGAGATAAACTAAACTAAAGCTATGAAAATTAAAATATAGAAAAAAACCTAAGTCAGATATAACTCACACCAGAAAGTAAAATAATTTTCAGAACTCAAGAACTATTTTTTAAAGGCACAAAAATAAGAAACTAGTTACATTTTCATCTGATTCCTGTTAGAAATTTCTAGATTTCAAATCAATAGAAGAAATCTATTGTGTGGTGTGGTGGCTCACGCCTGTAATCCCAGCACTTTGGGAAGCTGGGGTAGGTGGATCACCTGAGCTCAGGAGTTCAAGACCAGCCTAGACAACATGGTGAAACACTATCTCTACTAAAAATACAAAAATTAGCCAGGTGTGGTGGTGGGCGCCTGTGGTCCCAGCTACGTGGGAGGCTGAGATAGGAGAATTGCTTGAACCCGGTAGGCAGAGGTTGCAGTGAGCCAAGATCACACCACTGCACTCCAGCCTGGGCAACAGAGCAAGACTCCATCTCAAAAAAAAAAAAATCAATTGCAGAAATCACAAAGGAAAACAGCAGTGTATTTAATTACATAAAAATATAAAATATGCGTGCAGAAAAAAATCAAGATTAAAAGGCAAACTACAAACTGGGAAAATATTTGTCATCAATATAATGGCAAAGTATAAGTATCCCAAATATATAGAGTTTATATAAATCAATAAGGAAGACACTAACTTTCCCCAAAATTGGACAAAATACATAAGCAATTCAAAGAAAAGGAGTACAGATGGCTTAAAAATGTTCACTCTCACTATAGACTAAGAAATGCAAACTTAAATGACTCTATGGCATTTTTTCATCCAGCAGTTCAGCCAAGATTTTTGAACAGTAACTTCAGAGCTGGTGAAAGTACAGGAATGGCTACTCTTGTTTTTTACTGGTAGAAGTAAGAATCACTTCTGGAAAACGATTTATCAGGTTTTTTTTGTTTTGTTTTGTTTTGTTTTGTTTTTTGAGTCTCACTCTGTCACCCAGGCTGGAGTGCAGTGGCACAATCGTGGCTCACTGCAACCTCCGCCTCCTGAGTTCAAGTGATTCTCATGCTAACAAGCGAACACTGGTACCTTCCTACTAAGTTTACTCCAGGCTTTATCTGGATTTCACCAGTTTTTCCTTTTCTGTTCCAGGATCCAATCCAAGAGTTCACATTACTTTAGGAAGCTGCTTTTGGAAAAAACATGAGGAAAATGTCTAGAGTAGCAACACTAAATGGTTCTGAGGCTCTGTCCATGTGCCAGACACTGCATGGGTTGGAACATAACCCCCATTTATAAATGAGTAAACTGAGACTCGCAGAGGCTCCACAGCAGGCAAGTGGCAGAGGAGGGGCATTGCTGGGGCCAGCCAGTGGGTACCACAACCCTTCCTGCCCAGCACAAACCTGGGCATTCTCCAGAGTTTGCATGAAGACCAAAGCTGACAGGTGCTTGACACCTTGGTACTTTCAGCGCAAGGCTCTGTGACCAGGCTCCAAACACTGAGTAAGACGCCACAGTTCAGTTCATCACCTCAGCTACCTGCAAGGAGCAGCAAGGGCCAGTGGGCCAGAGGGCCAGAGCTGTCATCTGAATGCTAATGAATTCGATCCAGATTCAAGCCCTAACACAGTCACTCACCAGTGCTGTCTTTGGACAAGCCAATAACCTTTCTGAGCCTCAGTTCCCCCACCTGAAATGTGGAAATAATTGTTCCTAACTTCAGGGATGTTAGCAAATTTAAATAAGAGAATATGGGTCCATTTCAGAGAGCATGAATTCCCACCTCTGAACGGCAAACACAGGCCTGCTTGCACATGTGTGCGTGTCTGTCCATATGTATGCACATAACATCATGGGCAAACTACAAATTTCCTCAATCCAAGAGCACTGCTGCCTGTTGTTCCTTTGTGGATAAAGACAGGGCAATTCACTCCATCTACAGTGGCTGACGCGAATTCCATGTCACGGTTCAGAGACAATCTGGAGGGCGAACTCGGTACTGACAAGAGCTGGGGCTGAGGATGCAGCCTCCCAGCTTCAGATGCTTCTGATGGAGGCAGGATGAGGATGCCCAGTCTCCACTCCCCTGAGGTCCTGGGTGTGGTGACCCCCAGCCCCTCCACACGCTCATCACAGGGCGTGGGCCTGCTCCCTACCACCCGGATGTGAGGGCTGGATTTTGGGGTGCTGCTTTCATGAAAGCAACCTCCCAAATGAACCTTAATCTTCAAAGCTTCCCCCACTGAGCCTAGGGGGAGAGTGAGAGTCCTGGAAGTTATCTGAAAATTAGGTGATTTTTACCCTGTCTCCTGAAATTCATAAATCTAGCAAAAGGTGACACAAAAGAAAAATAAATGGCAGTAGGAAATATAGAACAAGGAAGAAAGAAATGAATAAAGAGAGGAAGAGAAAGCAAAAGGGATGGAAGGAAGGTAGAAAGAAGATAGAAACAAAGGGAGAGAGAGAGAAATAGGGAGGGAAGGTGGTAATAGCTGCCTGATAGATGAAGAGAAACAGAGAGAGAGAGAAAGAAGGAAGGTGATAATAGTTGCCCAATAGTTGAAGAGAGAGACAGAGAGAAAGGTGATAACAGCTCCCCAATAGATAAAGAGAAAGAGAGATGGAGAGAGAAACAGAGAGAAGGGAGGAAGGAGAGAGGAAAAGTAATAACTGCCTGATAGATGAGAGAGACAGGAAGATATGGTGAGGGGGGCGGGGAGAGAAAGACAGAAACAGAAACAGAGGGAGAAGGAGGGAGAAAAGGTGATAACTGCCCAAAAGATGAGAAAGAGAGAAAGATACAGAGAGAGAGAGAGAGAGAAACATAGAGAGGCAGACAGAAACAGAGAGAGAGGGGAGAGAAAAGGTGATAATAACTACACAATAGATAAGAGAGAAAGATATATATACAGAGAGAGACAGAGGCATAGAGAGAGGAAGAGAGAGAGACAGAATAGGCAAACTGAGAATCACTTGTTCCCCTAGTATCTCTGCAAAATGCCATTGAGATGCGGCAATCAGCATGCTCTGCCGATGGCTCTCTCACGTTCTGACTCTAAGAACATACAGCTATGCTTGAGTGACTGGGCTTCAAGTGTTTGTTTAAAGCTGTGCGTGACAGACAAACTTGGAATTCCAAGACAAACTTGGAATCTTAATGATTTTGTCTGTGCTCAATTACTTGACCTGATTTTGCTCGGCAAATATTAGCCATCAAGCCAGACACACCTGTAGAAAGAAGCCGCATAAAGGGCATTTACAGTGGGAATCCTTTCTGCCCGTTTTCATAGCACACAAATTGTGTGTTTAACCAATTGCTGCAAAGTTTGAGGGCCTCTTTAATAATACACATCCACCTTTCCTGAACTTCAGGGATTTTTCTAAGACCAATCAATCATTCCTTTAGTTGAATGACTTACTGAAAACATTGACATAATGACTGGCTGTTTCTAACTACAACCATTTATATTTCTCAGCCAGAAACAAAACAAAAAAGAGCCATTCCTCCCGAATACCTGCAAACAATTAGAATTATCAGCAAAGGGCTACCCACTCTTTGATATAAAACTTCCCTTGAAATGGAAACCAGTATATATAATTTGCCATGATTGAGTCTGCAAGAGAGAAATTAATGAATATAATAATTAAATGTAATACCTGTAGATAGAACTTGTCCCCATAATAGACATATTTCAAGGATGACCGTGGAGATCCCCATTTTGCTGGGTTCTCAATTGAATAGAAAATCCTTGACATTTATAGGTACCTAGCTAAAAGGAGGTGTGTCCTCTAGGGTGGCATATTTCTACTGCTGCTATAAATCAATATAAGGAAGTGAGGGCTTTTGCTAACAGTCAATGGCTAATCTGTGGGAAAAACTTAGGTGTGTTTGATTGATTGCCATATGAACAATCTGGCTGTTGCCCAACTGCAAACGCACTGACATAAGTGAACAATTTCCAACTTCCTTCTAGGTGAACCTCGAAGACTCCTAAGTGTTTCCTGAATATGGGCTTGATTTTAATCTTGGGGAGTTCAAATTAACCTGTGGAAAGTTTGCCCCAAGGTTTGGGGCAGAACAGGATGTGGGCTGCTGAGCAAATACAAGACACAGTGCCAAGGGGGAAAGAATCTCTTTGGGATGGTTTTTCCTGGCAGGACACTCTCTCATCAGCCCCTGTGCAGTGCAAGTAACCTCACCTTGGAAGAATGAGGATGACATGAGTGTGGATGTGATCGGAGAGCAGAAGGCATGAGGGATGATTCCATGGAGACCATGAGTCCATAATAACTTTGGCCACAGTCTTCTGGGTCTCACACTAATTCCACAACAGGAGCTGAGAAACACATGACCTCAAACTGAACCACCTCCAACCATTTCCACGGCTTTGATTTCTTATATTTGACATGCACATTGTATGACCCTCGGAGCTTGGCAAACCCACAAAACCTGCCCCCAACCTCCACCTACACTGCACACAATCCCCCTCATTGGATTTGCTATGTAAATATCACTTCACTCTTTGAGACCCTCAGAAGTCATCACCAGAGTCTGACAATCCCCCCACACACTCTACTGAGAAGGTTGCCTGACATTTATTTTTTGGAAAAGACACTTGATGGCCAGTAACTCTTGATTAAAGGCAGGCAGTTTCCCAGGACTTGCCTCTGTTTTCCTAGCCTGGGTGAGCTGTGCCCTGCTTCTCAGCTGAGAGGCTGAGGCCATCAAATGACACTTGGCTTCTTTGCCATGCACTGCTCATCAGTAGTCTGTGCTGCATTCTAGAAGGGTACCATGAATCCATGTCCTGTGTCAGCCACCAGTCAGAATTTAGGGCCGGAAGTCTGCCTTTGGCTTCATCCAGATGAAAGTTACATTCAATCTTTGATTTCCTTTTTAATCCTACAACTCTTCCTGTTGTTTCCAGGTGCCTCTTCACCCCTTGAGGAGAACAGGAACACAGAATAGGCTGACTGTGTTTCATCCTCCTACTGCCAGATCAGCAACTGATAAGCATTGAGTGATGAGAGAACGGGGTTACTCACCTACCAGGGAATGCCCAAGACCAGACACACGCTGGATCCCTCTTAGAAGGGGATTGTGATCCCTTGGTTCCTGGAGTGTTGGACTGAGAATGATTATGCAGGGGGTCTGGGATCCTCAGAGTGTCATGAGAGATTAGCATTGTCTGCCGTGAGCACAGCAGGGAAAGGTGATGGTAAGAATACTCAATACCTGTGAACAGGAAGGGGTAATAAGTGTCCTTCTGAGACAAAAGCAGACTGCCTGGTCTTAGACCTGCCTGGTGACAATTTCAACAGGGGGTAGCAAGTATTAGTACAAGCTACTATGAGAACGTAAAGCATCTAAATCAGATGATGGAGGCCGTCCCTCAGAGAGGGTGGCACCAAACAGTCTTGAAATACCAGCAGGGGTCAGCCCAGCAAATGAGAGTGAGAAGACTGGAGGAGGAACAGGAGAGATTCTCCCAGCTGTGCAGGAATGGGGGTGGGGAGCTTTCCCCTCCAGGAAAGCATGATGTCCCAGCTATCTCTCAGCTTGCCAGGGACATCCTTCTTGATAATGTGTGGGATTTTCTGAACTGTGCAACCTCCCTGTTTTTGTTGTTTTGACCGCATCCTTTGTCCACGCTGGTTAGCAGAAAAGATCCTAAGACAACAAGGGCTTGTGAGCTTTTTATTCATGAGACACCAGGAAGAAGGAAATGGTAAAGGCTAGCTGTCATTTCAAAGCCAGCCCAGATAGGCATCCCAGGTGGGAAATGGGTGACATCAGTGGAACAAGAAGGATGTGGTGGTCCCGGGCGTGCAGGCAGAAGACAATGGGGTTGAGGGCCACCTGCCAACACCATGTGGGTCCTCAGGCTTCACCGTCAGGTGCCCCATCTTGTCCCAAGGCCATTTTGTGGCTCCTAAGACACCATTTAGAAAGGTCTTTCCTTGGAGGAAGAGAAGGGTTCCGGGGGGACAACCCCTTCCAGCAGCAGCCCCTCCCAGAGGACCCTCATCTTCCCCTGCCTACTGGTTAGAAGCATCTGCTTAAACAGCATGGGGTGGAAGACCACAACCACAAAGTTCCATTTGATTCATCCCAGAACTGCCATGAAGAACAACAGGAAGCAAGAGAAGCCCATTAAAGCTCAGAGACTCGGCGCCCAGGCCCCATTTGCAAAGCACCTTTCCCAGGCAATTTTAAGTGGCTCCCCACAGCACACTCCGGGAGGTCGGACCAAGCCTCTAAATCCCAGCACCAGAAGACTGGTCTTCATGGGGAAGAGCCCCCTACAAGGGTCATATGTGGCTTTTTATTTATTTGAGTCTCGCTCTGTCGCCAGGCTGGAGTGCAGTGGTATGATCTCAGCTCACTGCAACCTCCACCTCCCGGATTCAAGCGATTCTCCTGCCTCAGCCTCCCGAGTAGCTGGAACTACAGGCATGCATCCCCACACCCAGCTAATTTTTGTATTTTTAGTGGAGACAGTGTCACCATGTTGACCAGGATGGTCTCAATCTCTTGACCTTGTGATCCACCTGCCTCGGCCTCTCAAAGTCCTGGGATTACAGGCGTGAGCCACTGTGCCTGGCCATATATGGCCTTTTTTAAAGCTACAGAATCCTTTCCTAAATTGGAATTCATGGGGAAGCCCCAAAACCTAAAACAAGCCAGTGGAATCTCCTGACCGTGGTGAGGGAGCCCCCTTCCAGGCCCCTCCCCTAGGGCCACCTGCCGTCAGAGCTGAGGATTATCTGTGGGTGGCCAAGCCCTCCCTTCATAAGACAGGGCACTGAGAGGCCCAGCAGGGTCCCTGGGGCTGCCAGGCACACATCGCTGCCACGAAGTTGAGCTGGGGTCCCAGGCAGACTTCCCAAAACAGGCCATTGTTCTCCGTCTTCTAAAGATTCTTTCTACCCACAGACCAGTGCCCTGGGAAGCCAGAGGAAGATGCAGATCAGGAAGGCAGCCCAGGGCCCCTCCCACCTCCCACCTCTGAGGGGTCTCTGATTTCTGAGCCAGGAGCTGGTGACCTGACAGAGAGACGAGGAGGACAGAAGGACGGGAACCTGGTGGGAAGGATCGGGGCTACAGCACCTTCCAGCAGCTGCTGATTGCCTTCCAGTTCCTGCAACCCATAATTTGTGTGACCAGGGCTCCCCTTCAGGTGTCAGTCTGACCCCAAACTCTAATTGTACCCTCATTGAGTAGCACACCATAACTGTACCCTCATTGAGTAGCTCACTGTAATTGCTAGTCATTGTTATCGTTGTAACAATCTTTTGACATTGTATATCTGATATTTATAATGTCACTCATTTTTGTTGCTCAGAGAGCTGGTCTTCCCAATCAGGTTACAAGGGGACCCCTTCCTACCCTCCTTCACCCACTCCCCCTTGCCCCAACCACCCCACACCTCCCTGCTGGACTTTGAGGACCAAGCTGAGACCTGTTGTCTCCTGCTGCCCCTCTGTAATTCCAGTGCCCCAGGCAGAGCAGGTGCTCGGCAGGCAATGACTTTGAAGGTGGGGATGGTGAGCGGCTCACCCATGCTGTCCAGAGGTCCCCAGAAAGAAGTCTTGTGGTTCAATGGGGGCTGGTGATGAGCCAGTTCTCCTTCACCACTCAGCCTCCAGCTGGGGATGATGAGGTCCAGAGAGGGGAAACGACACGCAGAGCTGAGACCGTGTCCAGGACAGCAGTCACAGCAGCTGCTGCCTCCCATCTGAAGGACAGATGAGCTCCACGTTCATCCACACAGAGCTGAGACTGTGTCCAGGAGAGCAGTCACAGCAGCTGCTGCCTCCCATCTGAAGGACAGATGAGTTCCACGTTCATCAGGATGCCATCCAACCACAGAATCTTCCAGCAACAAACAGCCCTTTAGGGACCCCTGACACACACAAATCCCATCGCATGCCTCCCGTCTTGCTCAGAGTAAGGCTCAAAGCCCCCCCATGGTTTGTAAGGCCCTGCACGAGGTACCCCTGCCTCTTTCTCCCCCTTGCCCGCTCTAACCATCATCCAGGCCCACGGCCTTTGCACTTGCTGCTCCCTCTGCCTGAAGACTTTTTCCCCAAAAGGCTGGAGATTCACTCGTTCCTCTCCTCCAGAGTTTTTCTAACATAGCACCTCCTCCACGCAGCCTTACCGACTGCCCCTCCCTAGCACTCCCTAACACTCCCATCCTCTCCCCACAGCACTCCTCACCATCTGGCCTCCTTCTATTTCACTTCTTTATTCTTTTGCCTGTCTGCTCTGACTAAAATGCAAGCTGTACAAGGTGGGATTTTTGTCTGTTTTATCCATTGCTGTATACTCAGAACCTAGAACAATGCTTCACACATAGTAGTAGATGCTCAAGAAATATCTGCATTCAGGCCAAGCACGGTGGCTCACGCCTGTAATCCCAGCACTTTGGGAGGCCAAGGTGGGCAGATCACTTGAGTTTGTGACCAGCCTGGCCAACATGGCGAACCCTGTCTCTACTAAAAATACTAAAAAATTAGCTGGGATTGTGGCACATGCCTGTAGTCCCAGCTACTCAGGAGGCTGAGGCAGAAGAATCGCTTGAACCCAGGAGGTAAGGGTTGCAATGAGCTGAGATCATGGCACTGCACTCCAGCCTAGGCAACAGAGCAAGACTCCATCTCAAAAATAAATAAATATATATATATATATATATATATATATATCTGTAGATT